TGCAGGTGGTACATAGACATATATTCAGGCAAAATGTTCATATACACAAAATAAAATTTATATTAAAAAATAAGTGAAGGAGATGATTCAGTGAATAAAGCTCCTGCAGCATAAATGTGAGGACCAGAGTTCCGATCCCCATAATCCATATTTAGAAGTCCAGTCATGTGTGTTAGTTGCCTATAATACTAGTACCCAGAATGCAGAAACAGGGAATCACTTGGGAAAGCTGACAAGCTAGTCTAAGTGACTGGCAAACTGTGGGATCAACTGAGAGACCCTCCCTAAATAAATAAAATGGAGATCAATGAGTGTTGTGGAATATCCATCAGAGAAGACTACTAAGGCACATGTTTAAGCCAATAGAAAGTTTTTATTAGCCAACTGAGTATTTGGGAACCTAGTGAAGTTCAAGCCTTTCTCAGGATGAACTTTAAAGCACAAAAACCACATCCTGGGTTGACATACTTCAGTTAGCAAGAACAGTGGTCTAGAAGTGGAACTACAGAAGAAGAAAAAAACAAGGTTAGCACATATAGAGACTTTCCTAGAACTTTGATGGATTGGGCTCTTGTTTTCATTTTGAATGGTGGTACTGTCTGTCTACATACTGTACTGAGTTTTGTGGCCTGAATGGGTACATCTATCTTGGAGTCAGTTGTGCTAAAGTCTGGTGGCCTACTAAAGTCTAGGAACCTGTTACATTGAGGAAGATATCCAATGTCAGCTTCAGGACCCTACACACACACACACACACACACACACACACACACACACACACACACACACACACACACAAGTAAGTACCAGGAGAGGAGAAGCAAGGTAACAGTAGAACTTTGGAGCTGAAAAGGAATGGTAAAGTTCAGGACTAGTAATTTTGGAGCTCAGAAGAGTGGAAGATATTTGGAGAGATAGAGAAGTTGTTGGGTAGTTTTGAAGGATTGTTTAACATTGGAGTTTGTGAATTCATAGCAGCATCTATCTTCCTTATTGTTAAGACTTCTCCCAACAATCCTCAGCTACTTGAATAAGCTCTGTCATGGTTGGGACACATTAAAAAGAGAGACAGCAGAGAACAGAATTTATGAAAAAGTAATGAGATGCACCATAAAGGTAGACCATAAAGGAAGAGGGAAAAGAGAGAAAGCCGCTGATTTGGAAAATTATATATTTGTGTAGGTGTCAGTGGGCCCTGATAAGATCAAAGAACCACTGAAGTGAAAGCAGTTGAGGAAGCAACAAAGAAGAGGGTAGTTTGGGTAGTAGTAGTGGGTAGTTTGAATGAATGACTTTGGAGGTGGCATGACTCCAGTTGAGAACCAGCTGGAAGATCCAAGGAAGTCTGTAGCTACATAAGGTCAAGGGTCACTGGAGATAAATGACTGGAAGTCTGGCACCATCAAATTTCTTGTGTTTACAATTACTAAATCTAAATCAAACTAGCATCATAAAAAATGAGTGTAGCAGCCCTTGTTATTAAAATATGAAAGGATAATTTAACTTCCAGCACAGCTATGTCCATGAACTCATGGGAGGCCAATGGGATTTGGACCCTCTAGTTTTCAGCTCTGCTCTGGTCTGTGTTGGTTCCAATCTAAGACAAGCTTCTCTCCAATGGTAGGAAAACTCTAGGCTTTCATCCCCTTTGGTCCAAGACCAGCAGGAAAAAAATAATGAGAATCTCTCTTTCCCAACTACTCAAACCCAACTCTTGAAACTCTTGAGCCTCTTCTTACTGGTTGAGATTTGGGTCATATTTTCATTGCTGTAATCATGGGCACACGGTGCTGTGACTGGACCTCATATCCACCTGTGTTGGTTGTACTGAGGGGCTACAGTCCAAACTGTATGGAAAGCATTAGCAAAGAAGGTTAGTGGATGAGTTGATTAGAGGAAATCTGAGGTGCAGTTACCACTGAACTGATGTGTGCTGGGCAACAGAGACAAACCATGTTTTCCTTTACAATGCTGAGTAGGTTGTTCATGAGCTCATTCAGTCTGGTAGCAGAGCCCAGGGTGGAGAGGAATCTCATAAAGCCAGTCTCAAAATAGGAGGCATGACATGGTGTCAATAATTTTATGTGTAAAACAGAACTTGTAGTATTAGTACCATGAGTGTCATTTATTTGTTTACTTATATTACATTTATTTTGTGTGTGTTTGCTAAAGGAGGGGTGTGTATGTGTGCGGGCATATTGCCACAGCACATGTGGGACTCCTGGGAATTGGTTCTACAGTGCTGGGATTGAACTAGGTTGTCCAACTTGGTGGCAGGTGCTTTTACCTGCTGAGCCATCTTGCTAACCCTATGAGTATTTTGTAATAATGCTTTAGGCTGAAAGATCCTTAAAGACAAGACTTTACATTCTTGGTACCTTCTATTGGGAGTGATATCCAATAATGATTGTAAAGGATTGGATGGATGGATGGATAGATTCATGGACAGATTTATGGATGCGTGGATGGATGATTCGTGAATGAACAAATGGACCACTTCAGTTTGAAAATATAAATAAAAATAATTTCACACTGACAGAATATGTTCAACAATCAAATGCCTTTTTAAATGTATTGCTTCTTGATTATTTCATGTGCATTGTAAAAATGACATAAGCTCTAAAACCATACAAACATAGGTCCTGGTTCCAAGTGACCTTGTAAATCTCAGTTTCCTCATCTATAAAACTGAGTAACATTATTATTAATAGGATGCCATCTCAGGGTGGATAGACCAATGAATCAATTTTCCAAGAGGTTGCATGGGTGTAGTCACTGAGTTGATGAATTTGCTTGAGCTAGAATCTAACTCTCAACCCAGAAAAATGAAAAAAAAAATCCCACATCTTATCACCACCAGAAGAGGGAAGGCATTTCCTAGATAGACACTTGTATCACCTACATCAGAAAAGCAGATTGAGAGTTGAGGCTAGTACTTAGTCAGTAGAGGGCCTGCCTAACTTGAAGGAACCCTGAGTTCAGTTTCCAGGACCACATAAACAGACTGGGTGGTTTACACCATGAACCTGTAATCCAAGTACTTGAGAGGAGGATCAGAAGTTCAAGGCTATCCTTGGCTACATAGGAAATTTAGATCAGAATAGGCTACATGAGACTCTGTCTCAAAAAAGAAAAGAAGTGGGGGAGGCAACTAGACCACAATGTTTACTTATTAACTTATCAGGTAAAATGACTTGGAGAGTTCTGGTAACTATATTTTCTTCCTGTCTGCAACAATAGTTTGGCAGTAAAACCATAACTGGAGGATTGTTTGTGATCAAACAAAAGGGACTTGAGCTGTGTCCTTAATGTGGTGACAGCCCAACCACTGGAAAACACTTGAAAGAAAAGTGGTGTATTCTTAGAGTCACAAGGCAGAAGTCTGATTCTGGTGATCCCAATGGACCAGACTCAACCACTTTCCCAAATGACCAAAGAGGTGTAATAGTAATAGAAGCAGAAAATGAATTTGTTTAGCATACATGAAACGAAAATGAGGACCCACTTCCTAGGCTTGCCTGTGAGCTATCAAGAAGAACTTCAGGCTTTCTAAGAAAGGAACAAAACTGGTCTGTATGATCATTATCTCAGGGGTGCCATGAGGAGCCGGGTTGCTGACAAGCAAGCTGCTGCCTCCAGAGTAGTTTTGACTCTTACTGCAGCGTGCTTATTGGTCAGACCTGTTTTCTTGGAACTCACAGTAACTTCAAGAAGAAATGACTCAGAAAAAGAGCAAGTCAGAAGAGAATAGCAGTTAGTCAGGTTAACTACTGCACCTTCTTTCAGGGTTAAGACGATGACTAGAAACTTCTAGATGTTTCTCTAGTGGCCTGGAGCAGCGTGTCTTAAAGCTAGAAGCTACCCTCTTTCTATCAGTTCTTCCACGATGGTCTCTGAGTCTGGGGGTCGGGAGATAGCCTGTGATATAGATGGAGTGACTGAGCGTTCCATAGACACTTGTTAGCTGCACTTTGACCAGGCGTGAGTTCCTGCATTAACTACATCCTCTTCACCAAGAAGCTTCTCTGATGAGGTCTGCGAGCTGCTCTGATCTGCAGGTACCAAGATATTAATTTAGAAGGGTTCCATAGCATGCTTATTTGACAGAATAGTAGAGGTATGTTTTGGGGGGGACGGGACCGTAGTGTTTTTTTAGACAAGACAAGACCACAGCAGTGATGAAGTCAGAGAAACTGTGGTTGCCTGTACAAGACATAGTTAACACGAGTTTGCAAGGGAAGGGGGCTCACAAGCTGGAGATAGTGACAACTAGGGGAGAACCAGTTTTCCTTGGTAGGTTGACCATGTTCCAGCAGGTGGCTCAACATGAATGAGCCTATGGATAGCATTTTTAAAAAAAGGTGGGAGTGGGCTAGAGAGATAGCTCAGAAGTTTAGAGCAAGTACTCCTCTTGCAGAGGAAACTACCCTTGTTTCCTGCACTAACAGTCAGGTTTCTTACAACTGCCTGTAACCCCAGTTCTATTACCTCTGGGCTCCTCATGTGTGTACTCAAGTGCACATGCCCCTACACAGGCACACACACACATACAGAGTAAAAAATAAATCTTAAAAAAATAAAAGAGAACACGGGGTGCCCATCCCACACTGAGGGATGCTCTCTCAGCCTGGACTCTTGTGGGAGAGCCTAGGCCCTGCCCTGAATGAAATGACAGACCCTGAAGATTCCCCATGGAGGGCCTCACCCTCCCTGGGGAACGGATTAGAGATTTGATGGGGGGTTGGGAGGACTGGGGGGACGGAGGAGGAGGGGAGGGAGAGGGAGCTGGGATTGACATGTGAAGCAAGCTTGTCTCTAATTTAAATTTAAAAAAAAAGAACATGAAGTTGGGAGGATTTGGAGTGAAAATGGGAGGAGTCAGGAGTGAATATGATCAAAATACATTGCAGTATTGTGAAATTCTAAAAAAAAAAAAGGAACTAAACCACATACATAAAAGGCTGGTGGTGAACAATTTGTTTATTATTATAACTCTTCAAGCATTAACAGTATTTCAAGTACTCTTGGTATCTTCAGCCCTGCGGGGGTGGGAGATTACCAGTTTTAGGTGAGCAGTTCTTTAATACAGAGTTGGGCAGGAATATGATCTAAAGTTGAAAGTGGCCAGTGGGGTGAGGCAATATGAATGCACAGATGCCAAGTTCCCATCCTTGTTCTTAGCTGTCCATCGGGTGTCTGAAGGCCCAAGTGAAGAGATAGCACTCCAGCAAAACAGCAGCTAAATCCCTGTTACACTTGGATTCTCACTCCCGAGATCTGCCTGTCTTTTTGGGTGAGTTTTCGTATCTTTTTTTTGCTGTGTTATATATACAAATTATAATACATTTGCTGAGTGTGTGCCACGGTGTGGATGTGGAGGGTCAGGAGACAAGTTTTGAGAGTTGGTTCTCTCAATTCCAGCTCGTGAGGCCAGGAGTAGAGCTCAGCTTGTCAGACTTGGCAAGCATCCTTACCAGTTGATTTATCTCACAGACCCTATTCTATTATATACTTATGATTTACAGGACATCTTATTTCCTTATTTTCAATTTTTGGGAGGTTTAAAGGTGTACCCCAGCCCCCAAAGCACTAGTAATAATAAGAACTTTATTATGTCTTGCATATCAGCTGTGAGAAGTTTTCTTTGTTTTGTTTTCAAGACAGAGTTTCTCTGTGTAACAGCCCTAGCTGTCCTGAAACTCACTCTGTAGACCAGACTGGCCTTGAACTCACAGAGATCTGCCTGCCTCTGCCTCAGTTGCCTCTGCCTCCCCGGTGCTGGGACTAAAAGTGTGTACCACCACACCTGTTGAGGGGTTTTCTATTACTCCAGGTTCAGGTCAAATGTTTCAGCTCCTTAGTCCTGTAACCTATGGAAGTCAGATCCTGTCCCATATGTCAGCCCACCTATGTGTGCTTCCAGACTCCTCTGCCTCTCCCTTCTCTGTGGTTCTTGCTTAGCTTTGTGCCAGTTCGTGTGGGAATCACAGATTCTCCACCAGATAACAAAGACTCTTACACTGGTCATTCATGAGAAGGGGAAGGTGTCAACATGATCCCAGATGAAACAGTGGACTGTCTGAAATCTCCACCAGCTGTCTTTATTAGTTTATTCTGACCCCCTGAGTTTAATTATGGCTGCTGGCAGGAGCAGGAGTGGGTCTCGTTTACTTGAAAACACTAAAACACAGCATATACATGTATGGAATTGTCAAATAATAGAAAAAAGAGGGGACATAAACTGGGAGACACCTTTAAAAGGGGGACATGTTAATTCTTATATATATATATATATGTTGCTTAAAGGGTGAGAAGAAATTTTATTTTTCCTATAAACTAGATACCATGAGCGTGCGCGCTCATGCCACAGCAAGTTTGTGGAAGTCAGTGGACAACTTAAGAGAGATGGTTCTCTCTTCTCTGTTCCTTTGTAAAATAAATTTGAGACCATTTATTAAGGTAACAAAAGTATATCCCAGTTGTTTATAAAGTACCTGCAATGTAAGTTCAGTCAGGGAGCTTTCCACCATACCTCTTGTTCATTTCTGCAATTCACCACTGAGCAATAGGAATTCCCATGCTGGCAACCTTGTTTCTGCATCTCTCCACTCTCTTGTTGGTTGAGAGAACATCTTCAAATGGATTGCAGCATTCTCTCCACAGCTGTAGGCTTTCAAAGACTACCTGATGCTAAATATTGGATTTCTATGTGAGCTTGTGCAAATTCCTCAACATCTCTGATTTCAGCACATAGACTCCCTGGGACAATTAACTGAGTTCAATTATATAATGTGCTTAGTACATGGTAAGAGTTAAGTAAATGCTATGTCCCACCTTTTGTGGGTAAGTGTAGGACTGAGGGTGTAGCTTAATTGGTAGAGAGCTTGCCTCGAATGCACAAAGCTTTGGGTTCCACTCCTAGTACCTCATGAACCCAGCATGTGCCCTATAATTCCATCACAAGGCAGAAGCAGGAGGACTAGAACTTCAGGTCATCCTTGGTGTCACAGTGAGTCTGGGGCTAGTCTAGGCTAAATGAGATCCTGAGTTAGTATACCTTTATTCATATAGAGATAAGAAATTTAGCTTTCTCTTTCATGAAGCCAGTTACGGGCTACAGAATAGATTCCTGAGCAATCCTCATATCTGATATGCAAGGCAGTGGTGTTCACTTTTTTGCTAGTGCTTTAGGAGTGGAGGGAAACCTTTCCCAGAAAATCTGGACACAAGGAAATTAAGATAGCCTGTGAAAGATACTGAATCTTGATGGGGCCAAGAGTCGAGGCTCAACTTGCTGGTAGTCTGGGTCACATAAGATGGCCAGGTACTACTTCAGTTGGGCCCAGCATTCAGAGATGAAGAGGAGGTAGGGACATAGTGAGAACATAATCCAACCCACAGTAGTCTAAATTGGGACAGGCATCATTGGACCTGAGACTAGATCATTTCTAGAACAGAAGGTTCAGTTCATAAGCCTGGAGAACTCCAAGGCTGGCTAGCACCCAGTTTTTCCTAGGTCTGATGTGAATCTCTCAGAGGCACTTTACATTTCACAAGAGGATGGAAAGAACCCAGAACCCATGAAGCCTGCAGAGACTGAGCAAGGTTGCCTCCTGCTGTCTTCAGCACCAAGAATAGACTCCTTTGATCAGATGGCCCGAGCGGTCCTTCTGGTTGTACCATCACTGATTGCAGAACTCTCCATCCCTAGTGTTTCTGCCACGCATGAGAGCAGGTTGTTGAAGCCTTGGAAAATATGTTAGGAATGGAGTAGGAGAGTCAGGTATGGGTTGGTGAAAACAGGCTAAGGTAGGAGGGGGTGGGAGAAATAAGCTGGTGAACCAGATCCACAGGTACCTGGGTCCTGGGTGCACCTTTCTCTTTGCAGATGTCAGAGTTGTATGAGTCTGGACACAAAGAAGGGTCTGAGTGGTGACAAGAGGTAGAGAGGACAACCCACTTAAAAACTACCAAAGGGGCACATAATTACACAAGCACTACCTGGAATCTAATCCCTAACCCACTGTAGAAGCACATTGTCCATCCATCTGGCTTTTTAGACTCTCCCAGGCAGATTTGTGTGTCCTTTTTGTAACAAATCGGTGCCAGTCACTGTGTCAGGGTTGAAGGTGGAGAGACTGTGGAAGAGAAAGGCCACCTTACTCTTTGGTGTATTTTGATTCCTGTATCACCCTGATCCTCATTCCAGAAGCATGTACTTAAAGGATAAAGCAGGGACCTGGGGAGCAGAAATCTTAGCCTAGGCTGCAGAGGATGGAGGCTATGGGGCAGGAAGAGCAACCACCAGGAAGCAGTAAGGGTCTCTGTTCCCGACTTTACTCAGCAGAACCTGCTGTCTCCAGCGAGCTCCACCACACCCCACCAGAGTCCAGTTTTGTGCTCTGGAGGAGCATCTGGAACTGGAAGCTGAGGCTGGAGCCCAACAAGGCAGGCCAGTCCATACAGGAGCATGAAGTAGGCGCTTCTCTGAGAGGCCTTTGGCCCCAATCAGCTGTCACTGAGTTAACTTCTTTGAAAGTCTGTGCTAGTTGCTTCTTACACCATGCATTCTTGTTTTATTTTTAATTAATCAGTTTAGTGTGTGTGTGTGTGTGTGTGTGTGTGTGTGTGTGTGTGTGTGTGTGTGTGTGCAGATTTCTGAGTGGTTTGCTCCTTCTACGGTGTGTGTCCCGGGGATTGAACAATTGACCATAAGGCTTGGCAACAGGACCTTTTCCTGATGAACCATCTTTTATTTTATGTTTGTTTTTGTCTTTTCTTTCTTTTTCTTTTTGAGACAGTATCTCTTGTAATGCACTAATGTAACTGAGGGTGATCTTGAATTTCGGATCCTCCTGCCTCCACTCTTTGGAATTACCGTCATGTGCCAGCATTCCTGGTTTACATAGTGCTGAAGCTAGAACCTAGAGCTTTGCACACACCAAGGTTCCTCTTACTTTTGACAAAGAAAACTTGACACCTCAGAGTTACACCAATCAGAAACCTAGGCCTCAGACCCCTGCCCAAACCTGCCTTCAAAGGAGGAAGAATTTGGAAACGCTGCCTGGGCGGGTCCCAAAGCTGGCTCAATTTGAGTTTCAGCGCTTTGGTCCTCGGCGAAGGCAGGTTGTATGGCCTGTCTCCAGCCTGGGCAGTCTCCAGCCTGTTCAGCCGGACCCGGGTGGAGGTGGGGGGCGGAGCGCTACGTTTTTGACCTGGGGAGGAGGGGCCACAGCTAGGTAAGTAAGTCCTAGACTAGCTACTGTCACAGCGCTGCCCCAATGCTTCTCTAAGGTGCATCTGAAAAGCGCTCTGGGACTGAGCCCCTAAGCTCCATAAACAGTCAGATTTGGAAGCATCTGTCTGCTTACAGTAAGCCCTGTTCCCTGTCGCACAGGTAATATGGGTCCTGGAGTCACCTGTCCATGGAGAAGCTGGCTCTCTGGCTTCCAAATGAGGACTTGGATCGAGCCTGTGGTGGCCTCAACCCAGGTGGCCGGGTCCCTCTACGATGCAGGACTGCTCCTGGTAGTGAAGGAATCCTTTGCATCCGAGGCTGGAGGCTCCTCCAATCACACTGCCAGTCAGTCACTTAGGGGGCATCAGGAGGACCAACAGCAGAAGGCCATCTCCAACTTCTACATCATCTACAACCTGGTGGTGGGCCTGACACCCCTACTATCCGCCTATGGATTAGGCTGGCTCAGTGACCACTACCACCGCAAGATCTCAATCTGCACATCAATGCTGGGCTTCCTGCTGTGCCGCATTGGACTCCTGCTCAAAGTGATGCTGGACTGGCCAGTGGAGGTGATGTACGGAGCAGTAGCTCTCAGTGGGCTATGCGGGGGCTTCTCCGCTTATTGGTCTGGGGTCATGGCGCTGGGATCCCTGGGCTGCTCCGAAGGACGCCGCTCCTTGCGCCTTATCCTCATCGATTTGGTCCTGGGGTTGGCTGGGTTCTGTGGGAGCATGGCCTCGGGGCATCTCTTCAGACAAATGGTTGGGCACTCTGCGCAAGGCCTCATGTTAACCGCCTGCAGCGTGGGCTGTGCAGCATTTGCCCTTTTCTACAGCCTCTTTGTGCTGAAGGTCCCCGAGTCTGTGCCCAAGCCCAACAATATGTACCCCACCGTAGATACTGTGTCTGGCATGGTGGGCACCTATCGAACCCTAGATCCAGATGAACTGGACAAGCAGAATGTATCAGGGAACCCTCTGACTCCTGGGAAAAGGAAGCCCTCCCTAACCATCGTTGCCCTGCTATTTGTGGGTGCCATCGTCTATGATCTGGCCGTCGTGGGCACAGTGGACGTCATGGCCCTTTTTGTGCTAAAGGAGCCTCTCAGTTGGAACCAAGTGCAGCTGGGTTATGGGATGGCTTCTGGATACATAATCTTCATCACTAGCTTCTTGGGTGTTCTAGTCTTCTCCCGCTGCTTCCGAGACACCACGATGATCATAATTGGGATGGTCTCCTTTGCGTCCGGAGCCCTTCTCTTGGCCTTTGTGAAGGAGACATACATGTTCTACATTGGTAAGCATGGGGCTTTGGGAGGCAGGGCACTGCTAGCAATCTGTGTCGTAGCTTAAGGGTGTGGTTGGGGAAATCCCAGTTCAGTACCAGGGACTGAACTTGGAGGTACAAGAGAGACAGGAATGGGTTTGTCAGTTTTGTGCTGTGTTATTACCTGTGTGGCTGACTGAATCTTGCCACAGTGGTACCCATGGCTCTAGTTAAAGGTGATGTGGTCAGTGGATCTTGGAATCAGTATGGAAGGCTGCCACACAGCCTTAGGCGGAGATGGGTTCATTTGACTTTAATACATTTAAAATTGTATTTGTTTAATCAGAGTGGGGAAATGGGCACATTATAATGCACCTGTGACGGTCAGAGGACAGCTCGCTAGAGTTTATTTTCTCCTTCCACCATCTGGGTTGTCTGGCACCAAGCACTTTTACCTGCTAAACTTCTTCCCCAACCCTCTTCTCTCTAGCTTTAAAGAGATAAGACACACAAAAAGTTCCCTAAATCATTGAAGGCCAAGCAAAGACTTTTTTTTTAACAATGCATAGAATCGGTGCTAACAGAGCTCCATTGGCTCTGCAAACGATGGAGTACATTCCCACAAGACCACGGACAGAAGTTTCCTCTGGAGGACAGAGGTCATACAACCTCAAGCAGAGAGTTCTAGAACTCATGCTGCAACAGGACTTCCTACGGCTGTGAAGTGGCCTTCGCCTGTCAATACAATGTCCACTAGCCTTGTGTGACTGAGCATTTGATATGTGGCTAGTGTAAAGAAAGAACAGTGTTTAAGGGTTATTTCATGTTAACTTACGCGGGCTGCCTGTGCCTAATAGCTAAGAATTTGGAAAGAAAGAGATTCTAGGTTATCAGAGAACTGCCCCAGGCTGTACACCTCAGAAAGACAGCTAGCAGAGAGGCGAGGCCCCAGTTAAGAAGGCCTTGTACAGAGGAACAAGTGCCCCTCTCCCCAGCCCTTCCCACCTCATCTCTCCATCCTCCTCCCCCCCTCCTCTACCTTTCTCTTTCTCTCCCCTCCCCCACCTGCATTTGGCTAGTTAGTAAGGCCTTTAGGGGCATCAGGGGAACTATGTTCGAAAGGGCCAGAGATTCAGAGTCTGGGCTACTTGGCTTCTCCCAGCAGAGAAGTTTAATGCTTCCAGGTCAAGGCCAAGGGACTGGGGGTGGGGAGGGGCTGGAAGGGAGGGAAGCCTTTGCTTTGTTCTGGTCCCCTGGGTTAAAGCTGAACTCAGATGAGAAGTGTTCTTACTATCCGTTACAGCTCGAGCCGTCATGCTGTTCGCGCTTATCCCCATCACGACCATCCGATCAGCCATGTCCAAGCTCATAAAGGACTCTTCCTACGGTGAGTGAGAGGACTCTCTCCAGGATGTCCAGGCCGAGCTGTCACAGATGCTCAGAAGATCCAGAAGCAGGACTGGGGGGGATGACTTGACTGATAAAGTGTTTGCATGAGTGTTTGCATGCAGACTGACTCTCTGGCACTCATATAAAATGCTGACATGGAAATACATGCCTGTAACCCCCGTGCTGGGGAGCCGAGGGGAGAAGTCCCGGGGCTTTATTTCTACCTCTGGTCTTCATACATGCACATCTGTGTGCACTTGTGAGTGTGTGCAGGTACACACACGCACACACATAAACAAGTTCTAGAAGCATCCTCAAACTTATAAAAAGGAGGGTGGAAAAAAACTCATAACGATAGTCACTACAAGTCAAAGTCAAAGAAGAAAGATATTTCAGGAAGATCCAGCTAGATGGAGACAAGATTCCCATCAAATTGAGTCACGGGGGGCTAAAAAGGAGTCCTTAGGAGAGTGAGCAGATCTCTGGAGCCCCCCAAGGACCAGGTAGAGGGAACAAGAAAGGGACAATAGCACATCTCTTGATAATCTTTGTGTCTTCCACAGGGAAGGTGTTCGTCATACTGCAGCTGTGTCTAGCTCTGACTGGTGTGGTGACATCCACCATATATAACAAGATCTATCAGCTCACCATGGACAAGTTCGCTGGCACCTGCTTTGCCCTATCTTCCTTTCTCTCCTTCTTGGCAATTGTCCCAATTGGGTAAGACAGAAACTGTCTGCTGTGTGGGTTGGGGCCCTGGTGTTGACATCAATCACAGACCTCTTGTTTTGTTTTGTTTTGGTTTGGTTTTTATCAGCTCTCTCTCAAAGAACAGACAGCTCCGAAAACTAGACTCCTTTCTGGCAGTTTCATAAGATGATTTATTTACAGGAGCTTCGTAGACTTCCTTACAGTTGGAGAGCCTGTTAGAAACTCACTGGAGCCATTCTGGCCAAATCTTTGGTTTGGATCCCTTTAGGATCCCTTGTCCCTTCCAAGGACTGTTTCTTCTCTGTGCCCTGAAGGGACTCAGTGGCCATAGCACATGTGAGCTCCCCAACAAGGCCTTAGGCAACAATCCTCGGACCTCTTCCTCTGGGGGACCATCTCCTATGTGAAACAGTGATGAGCAGGCAAGCTGCTGCACAGCCAGGCACTAGCGAATGAATCAGCAGAAATGAAGGAAAGGAAGGGTAGGTTAGTTTTGGCTTCACTAAAAATGAGTGTGAATCGCAGAGGTGTGTGTGTGTGTGTGTGTGTGTGTGTGTCAGTGTTTAAAATTTGGTAAGAAGTCACTTTAATTTTAAAGAATTTTACTTATTTTTATTTTATGTATTTGAGTGTTTTGCCTGCATGTATATCTGTGTACCATGTGTGCAGTATACACAGAGACCAGAAGAGGGAGATGAGATCCTCCAGAACTGAAGTTATAGATGGTTTTGAGCCACCATCTGGTTGGTGCTGGGAACCCAACCCAGGTCTTTTGAAAGAGCAACAAGTGTTCTTTCTCCACTCCCTCTTTCCTTTTTTGTTTAATTTTGTCACATACAATATATCCTTGCCATAGTCTCTTCCTCCCTCCACTCCTCCTAGGCCTCTTCCAATCCCCCTTCTCCCACAGATCCACTGCTACTCCATTTCCTTTCAGAAAAGAGCCCGTCCTCCCAGTGATATCAACTGAACAGGGGCAGCAAGTGCTCTTAACCACTAAGCCATCTCCCCAGGCCTAAGGAGTCTGTTGTTTATTTGAAAGATGGTCTACAGATGGTGGTGTCCATCTTTTATCCCAGCACTCTGGAAGCAGAGGCAGATCTCTGAGAGATGGCCTTTCTATAAAGCTCAGCCTGGCTTCAAACTCACATCTTCCTACCTCACCTCAGCTTCCTATGTACTTGGATTGCAAGCATGTGCCCCTATATCTGGCAGGAGCCACATTTTAAAACACAAAAGGTGGGAGTGTAGTTTAATTGGAACAGTGCTTGCCTAGCATGCAAAAACTTCAGTTTCTACCCCTCCAATTGTATAAACCAGTGTGATAGTACACATCTGTGATCCCAGCACTCAGGAGACAGAGACAGGAGGATCAGAAGTTCACTGTCATCCACAGCTACACAATGAGTTTGAGTTTTCCCTACAGTACACGAGACCCTGACTCCAAAAAGAAAAAAAAGATGGTGAAATTAATTATAATAATATAGCATAATATAGCTGGCACCCAAATATCTCAACATGTAATCAGCATATGCAACCTGGCAATAGGAATGCTTTACTTCTTAAAATGAACAAATCTTTGAAACCCAGTTATATATATTATTATCCTTATAGTAAATTCCTATTTTGTAGACACATTTTAAGTGTTCAGTAGCTACATGTCCCTTAAACCTTCCCCTGAAGTGAAGTTCTCTCATATACCAGTGAGTCTAGCCTTAAGAGAAATGTCTCTTTCAGGACAGCCTCAGGCTATTCCATAAGGTACAAGGGACTTGATAGTCTCACACTTAGACACACTGGCCTGGTTACCAAATAGTCTTAACAGCAGCTGCAATGACAGCAGCTGAGTAGACAATAATCGAAAGCAGTCTAGAAGGGGGGCTGTATAGAAGTCATTTTTAGAATCCTCACATCATATCATAATATAAGTTTTGGGCAGTGGTGGCATAATATAGGTTCTCTGCCAGGTCTCCTGGGATAGGAGCCACCAGTCATTAGAGCTGTTGGCTTTACTTGGCAGTTGAGGAAAATGAGACACAGATCAAACACATGGGAATCTAGCCAAGTAGAAGACCACAACGAAGTCTCATGTCTTAAGATGTGGGGACTGAGCCAAGACTTTCCAACCATTTGACCCTTCCATTGGATCCTGGCTGCATGGGTTGGAACGACTTGGTGAGAGCTACCATGTGGTAGACTTTTGAGGTGTCCAACTCGCTGGTCAACTGAGTAATAGATTAATAGTTTCACTCAGGTAACCAATCCTGTTTCACTGAAGGTTGAGGCAGTCTCTCTAACCTAAATAAAAACCCCAAAACAATAGTAGGAAATAAGTCTAACTAGCCAGTGTAGGTCATAAATTTATAAACAGACCAACAAAAGCAATGACTGGTTCCTTCTTTAGTTTTGTCTGGGTTGTGCTAGGTAGGATGGGTTGCCTTCTTCAGGTAGAGATTTGAGGGCATATAGAACAGGTGCCCTTGACACCTCACCCAATGCACTTGGATCCAGCCATTTGTTTCTGCACCAGTTCCTTAATATTTTTATTCTTTTCTTCCCACCCCACACACCCTGTAGTATCTGGAATTGAACTCAGGTTGTCAGGTTTGGTGGCATGTGCCCTTACCTGTTAAGCCATCTTACCAGACCTGCACCAAATCTCTTTTTAAACATTTCATATGTGTTCAGATGCCCTTGGAGGCCAGACGAAGGTATTGTTGGAGCTGGAGTTACAGTCAGATATAAGACCATTGACTTGGGTGCTGGGAAACAAACTCAGGTTCTCTGGAAGCATCCTTACCTGCAGAACCATCTTGCCAACCCTACACCAAATCTGAATTACCCACACAGGATCTTCATGATCTTGTGTCCCAGAAGCAGACAAAAGCTCTGGAAACATCTGCCTGAGCAGCTGATTGGATGCTTATGTGGATCAGGCACCTACCTGCTAAGTGCTTCCTCCATTGTCCTTTAGCAGTAGAAATACATTCGCAGACAAAGCCACTGCCTGGGAGAGACACTGTCTTAAAGCTTGATAGGTCATTTTGAACGTACAGCTAAGACTGAACATGCATGGTGTAACAGCAGTGTTTTCATGACCTTCCCTTGTTCTGATACCACTCAATGAGAATCTGAAAAGTCTCTTCCAGCTACAGGTAGCCAGGCTGTTGGGCCAACAGTCATTAAGTAAAGACAAGAGAAAAGACCTGTGGGGTCTCTAGCCACAGAAGGAAAGGCTACATTCCAGTCCCAGACAGTCTCAGGAAGGTGTGCTAAAGCAGAGGACACGGAAGTCAGAAGGCTGGACCAGTTACTGTCTGCATTCTCCTTCCTGATGCTAGGAGAAGTCTTTAGGCTAGAGTTGCCAACAGCCTTTCTATTCATGAGGGGGTGTGGGCCACCCCGCCTGGTCCTTATAACAAAGGGGGAGGCATTGTCACAGTTACTGTGGGAACCCGTCTTCCTTGCCTTTTCTTTTTTACACGAACAGGGGGATGTTAAGGAAGCCTTCACGAGGCTCTGCGGCTCCAAAATCTCCCCTCTCCCTCACACACAGGTATTCACAGGTGCTCTTTGTTGCCCAGATTTCTTGTCCCACATCAGATGTTTATGTTACAATTCATAGCAGCAGAAAAATTATAGTTATGGAGTAGCAACAAAAAGAATTTTTATGGTTGGGCTGCATCATTAGGAAGGTTGAGAGCCACCGCTCTCGAAGGGGTTTGCTTAATGAATATATGCTCTGTCAAAAAGCTGTGACACTGCAGCTCAGTTGGTGCAGTGCTTACCTAACACACATGAAGCCCTGGGTTCAACCCCCCAGCACATGGTGAGAGCTGGCATCCCAGCTCTCAGAGAGTGAAAGCAGGAGGATCAGAAGTTCCAGGCCAGCCCCAGCCTTGTGTCTCAAAATAACAAGAGTAACTGAGACTAGGAAGACAGCTTGGTAAAATGATTGTCCTGTAAGAGAGTTCAGATCACTGCAACCCCGGCAATGGGGGTGGGGGGTACGGACAAGAAGGTCCTCAGAAGTCACAGGTAACTGAACAAGTTGAGACAGCTAACTCTGCTTGGGATCAGTTCTTCCTAGCAAAGAGACGCTAGGAAGACAGGGCAGCTGTCTAGTTTACAACGTTACTGGAGACGGGGAGAAGTTCATTATCCCAGGACTGTAAGGAATCTGGAGAGTTCTCTAGAGCCAATCTTCTCACTCAGTAACATCTGATGCACTATGAAGATATGTTTTCTTTCACTGCTGAGAGTGGTGGGAAATGATCCAGGCATAGGTGAAGATGAAAAGCTACCTACTCCTCCTTTGCCTCATTCCAGCTCTCATTTTATAATTCTCTTTTGCAAATTCTTACAGCATTGTGGCCTACAAACAAGTCCCGAGGACACAACAAGGAGAGAGAGCAGAGAAATGAAGGAGCTGAAAACACCAGCAATAACCAGGTTCTGCCCATGAAAGCCACGTTCCAGCCTTCCAATGACCCTCTGTGGCCCTTGCATCCCTGTGGGAGGGAAAATCACTTTCTGAATATTGGAGGAAATCTCCTAGTTCTTGGATGCCTCTGCAGGGTTAGGGTCTGTGGGTACAGGCTGCTTGCACAGGCATCCTAGGTCATGGAGGGGTTCCGGCTCCTTCCAGCCTTTTCTCTCATCACTGTCTTAAAGGCTCCAATGGAGGGTTAATAGGTCACCTGGGCACTGTGCTAGAAGTTCTATGGAAGACTTAGCCTGCATTTCACCAGCCCAGGGGGAATGAACATGAAATGGACATTTTGTAAAAACTGACATTTCTGTATGCATGACACTAGTTTTCAAGTTAATGTAACATCTTGAAAAACTGAGTTTTCTTGGTTGAGTTGGAAACAAGAGAGGAACAAAGTTCAGGGTAGTGTTAGCACTGTTGCTTTTGGGAAGAAGATAGCTGGACTGGGGCTGCAAAGCAGTTGGTGGAGTGTTTGCCTAGCATGCATGAAACCCTGGATTCCATCTCAGAAGCCAGGCATGGCTGTGCACACCTGTAATCCCTGCACTTGGGAGGTAGAGTCAGAAGGATCAGAAATTCAAGGCCATCCTCGGCTGTATTGTCAGTTTGAGGTCAGCTGGGAACACATGACATCCTGCATCAAAAATCAAAACAAAACCAGCAACAACAGCAAAAGTCAACATGTACCAGTGAAATATGCAAAGGAACACTTTCAATCAATAGTTTCCCGAGTGGATGGTGTAGAGATGGGGATGTCATGCACCAGCTTATTCTGAGTTACTTATGCTGACTGTCCCTTTTGCTTACCAGGCTGAATCATCTCCTAATAAAATCAACATTCACAGTGTTGAGTACAAATAGTTCTTTCCCTGGTGGGATCTCCATGTAATTACAGATGCGACATTCTCAAACTGGAGTGAAATACAGAGAGTGTATTTAAATGTCAGGGCATTTGGACAGTTTGTATCTGATTCCCTTGCAGGAAATGATCAAAACTTGGCTTCCCTCCTCCTCTCTCCCAACCTCCCTGCATCCCCCTCCCATGCCCATCCTCTTCCTTCTGCCCTCCTTGCATCTTTAACTCTTGAGATGCCAAAGGCCCTATCTTTGATTCTCCAAATCTGTTTCTTCCTCACAGACCCTAGAATGTTCTCAACACAAGTTAACACCTCCAGTTCCCCAATATAACAGTCCTCCTTATTTTCTCCTCACTCGCCACTTAAGATTATTGTATCCTTTCTCTATTCCCTGAATGATATAATAGCATCACCTCCATTTCCCAGGCTATAAGGCTCCAGATCACCTCTGACCTAGTCCCTTTTCCAAGTTTTCTCTCTCTTTTTTTTAGTTGTTTGAAATAAACATTTTATTTTCTGTAGTCACTTCACTGTACCGAACGCACCAGATCTTACTCTTTTTTTTTCAAATTTTATTATTTTTTTATTTAAGTTGGAAACAAGTTTGTTTCACATGTCAATCCCAGCTCCCTCTCCCTCCCCTCCTCCCCTGCCCTCCCCACCAGGTTCCCCAGTCCCCCACCCAATCTCCATTCCGATCCCCAGGGAGGGTGAGGCCCCCCATGGTGGATCTCCAGTGAGGGTCATTTCATCCAGGGCAGCGCCTAGGCCCTCCCCAAAGAGTCCTGGCTGAGAAAGCCTCCCATATTGTGGCATGGGCACTCAAAGTCTATTTGTACACCAGGGATAAATCTCTTAAATCCAGCTGCCCCATTACAACCTCCTTTATCACTTCTGGCCATGGTTTTTAGAAAAGGTTGTGTGTGTGTGTGTGTGTGTGTGTGTGTGTGTGTGTGTGTGTGTGTGTTTTGCCACGTGGATCCTGGGGACTCCAACTCTTCACCTGCTATGCCTCTCATGGGCCCTTGCCAGTTTTGTGTGTGTGTCTGTGTGTGTGGTTTGTTTCTATCCATTTCCCAGGTCTCCAGTCTGATCCCAATCCTCCAGCATCTCACCTGTGTACCTTTCTAAAAGGGAGGGGGAAGGTATATAAACACTCCTTTAAAAAATCAACTGACTAAGCATATAGGAAAGGCTTAATCATTAACATTTAACTTGGACAAATTTAAACAAGTAGTATTGGATTAATGATGTTGGATTAATGAATTGCATTAATTAATCATCACTAAGCTAAGTTCACATCATTATGACATCCATTTCCAGCACTTGAGTGAGCGTACACGCACGCATACACACACACACACACACACACACACACACACACACACACACACACACACACACACACACACATGAACAGCAGCTCACTATGGAGCCTTGGCTGACCTGGAACTCAATATGCAGCCAGACTGGCCTCAAACTCACACAGATTTGCTGCTTCTGCCTACCATGTGCTGGGATTAAAGGTGTGTGCCACCACTGCCCAGCTTCATATGAAACTACATGTATGTGTGTGCGTGCGTGTTGAGTGGGAACATGCATGTAGGTGAGGATGAGAAGGCAGAGAAGGCCCTTGGATGCCCTAGAGCTGGCGCTGTGAGCTCCCTGATGCAGGTACTGGGAACTGAACTCAAGTTCTGTCCTCTGCAAAAGCACTCCCATAAACCACAGGCATTCCTTTTCCTTGAAATGCCTCAAAAACATGGCAGAAAACAACACAATAGAAAATGGCTGCCCCCAACCTAGAATATAATGTGTTTTTCAATTGTTCCGCGCAGGAAGAAATCTCTGTGAAGCATCCACCTGCAATCTCAATGATACTATAGCAGTTTATCTCCCTAAACTGGTGCCAATTAAGACGCAGGGGAGGGCAAATTGTGGCAAGGTCTATTGTGAAGTAAACACGAAGTTCATGTGTGTACCTATGTATGTCTTTTCCTATCACCCTGCATGTTCTGATTCTCATAAGCATATTATCAACTGTTCAGGGAAATTTTTAAAGAACCAGAAAGACAGGCGCCCCATTTCTCTGTCCTAACTAGCACAAATTAGCACATGACCCAGGATAAATAAAGCATCTTTTATAGATTTATTGGTCCATTACTTTAAGTTAACTGAGGTAAAGAATTTTTTAATTTACAAGCTAATAGTTTATCAAGCAATACAAATTCTTCGTTTACCTCAAAATGTAATACTAATTCCATAGTAAACAACAAACAGAATTTCTTACACACAGATATACGAAAAACAAAAGTGGACAAGAACCTCGTGCCAGCATCAAAAATACAATAAAACAGCTTTTTTTTTCTTTTTATAATCTCTGGTTTCATAACAAAGAAAAAGGTGACATTCGTTTTTTGGTAGTTTCATGAGACAAAGTCTTGGATCTGTAAAGAAATCACTTTCTTATCAACTCGCATTCTCTCAAGCACTTATGCTCACAGCTTTTGTTTTGGCTTAATGGCAGCATGGAGAGAGAGCGAGCCCAGCAGGACACCACACCTCAGAAGCCTGCTTCTTTCTCTGGAAGTTTTAAACACAAAAACAACTTCTAAAAATAAAAAACACAGTCCAAAAATTTGTCATAATCCCCCCCTTGAACAGTTAAAATGCGAGCTAGAAAGTTTGCTGGCAGTTTGTTTCATGGGAGTCTGTCAGATGCAGGCTGCCTCTCCATGCATTCCTGACTCAGGCATGAAGGGGACAGGCATACAGAAATACAAGGAGCAGGGACTCTTGAGGGAGAGGCCCAACCCTCGGCACTGGCGAGGTGGACAGTGCTGACTGGGAAAGATGCTGGTTTGTGCTGGTTTATTCCTGGATGAAGGCCCAGCTGACACAGCCATCGCTTTGTTACACCAATCCACACGTTGCTTTGCAGTCTAGGGGAAAAAATTCCCCTTCCTCCCTCCCCTCCAGCATTGTTCCTGGCAAAGCATCCCTCTAAGGCTGTGGACCAGCCTGTCAAACCGCACTGTGCACAGGTGTTAGCTACTCTGACCCAGACTGCAGAGAGCTCAAATCACCTGATGTTTAGGCGGTACTTCTAGGAGTGGCACATAGTCAACTCTTTACCATTGGCTTTAATATTAATGAGTTGACAGAAAGGGTTTATGTTATTTGGCATTTCAACCTTTGGAGAATTTCTATCCCAACGTGCTCTGGGGCCCATTCTGCAGAAACAGGGTAAAACTTTCATGCTGTCACAATCTAGAGAATCCTCTGAAGCTATGCGATTTGTCACTGCGGATAATGTCTGTATACTCAACAACCCAAACTATGCCAGTGCAACAAACCAAGTTTGCCTTTCTCACTCAAAAACATCAAACAGTGCCAGTGTCATCGTCCCTGTTTCTTGACATTATTTCAAATACCATTTGGCAACAGCAATATTTAGTCTCACCTCCCAAAAGGCCACCTTCCTTCTGTGACCCTCACCTCTGGCTTTAATGGGACTGAAGATGATCTATATTAAGTTTCTAGACCATCTGCTTTCACATGTAAAACTTTCTATGCAAATTTTTTTAAACACTAGCTGAAGAGTAAGGCAATTAGTGGGTACTGACAAAGTTTTAAGAACTACAATTAGGCTTTTAACAGTCTGTTGCTTTTTCTTGATGTGTTGGTTTTCAAGTGCTAAGAACACAGATATGAGAGAGACATCTTATTGGTCTCTTTAGAAGTTTCCCCCACCCCACAGCACTTATTTACAAACTACAGTAGTTAAAAAATAGTAATGTGTTTTGTTTTGTTTTTCCACACATAAAGATTTGGGCAGTCAGTCACACCCAGGAATATTTCAAAAAGATATGATTAAGAGACAACGGTTTGCCCCTGTAAGAGAACCATCACCCCAGCTTGGACAGAGTCCCAGCCCTCTGATGTGTGCAACCATGGGGACACCTTCAAAACAGAACACTGACAACCTACAGAGTGGGTTGGTTAAAAAGTGAATCCCTCATTATTTACTAAATTATAAATAGGGAGAAGGAAGCAGCCCCAACACCTACCGCATCTCTATTTGGCCAAGAGGTAATTTTCCTCAACTGTACTGCTAAGTGCCCCTGCTATCTGAGGAGAGAAAACCACAGGCGATGAGAAGGCACATTCAATCTGTTGTCATCCTGAAGATTTTCTAAGAGTGAAAAGGAAACCCCAAATTCCCAACATAATCTTGTAAATGAAGATGACCAAAGTCTCCTAACTCTATGCTTAGTTTACTTGATTTCCAAATACCCTTTGTGAGAGGGCAGGGTCCAGAAGGGAGTGCCCTGCCCCAGCCACAGGAGCTGATTCTCTGTAAGAATCACCCTTCAGGGTTGCCAGCCCCACCTAGCCAGAGAAGAGCCCAGTTCCAGCGCACTCCAAGACCCAAACCAGTAAGGTCAACCCAGCCTCTAAGGCAGTCCTTGGCTTTGCTTTACCCATCGCAACCAGCTCAGGACAGTGTAGTGAAGTGATGTTACTATGATACAAATGACCTCACTGAAACAGAGCCAGCTACCTAGGGTTTCAGTGCCATAGGACAGGACCGAGTCACAGAGTCTGAATATTCTTTGGGTGTTGTCTTAAAAGAGAAACATTGCCATCATGCTCACTTCTAAAATCAGAGCTTCCATTGGGCCCTCACCAAAGGCTACAACAGTATGCATGGACAGTTTCCTCCTGTTGAGTGGAAAAAGAGTACACTCTACTCAGCATCTAGAGTACACTCCTTGGGCCTCACAGTTGGCATAAAGAGACTTACATTCCACTTCTACCACCAGGCATGCTGGGCTTTTCTTATGCTGACTATGGGGAAATGCCTGGTGAGTTCAGGAGTAGCTTGGCCTCCCTAAACCTACTTGCAACTCACCAACAATCATGACTGAGCCTTTGGAGAGGAAAAAGCCCAAGCCCACATAGTCCAAGATGTGAGTCCCTCCTTACTCCAGAGCAATGCCTCCTTGCTTTGAGCAGAGCAGCCCAGATTCTTCTTACAAATTGCCAGCATTAGTATTATCCTTTACTGCTACAAACCACAACAGTGTCGTGTAAACACTCTCATCTCTCTACTCTCCTTGGTTTTAAGAATTCTCTTTTTACCTTGACAGATTTCTAACCCAGTGAACAAACCCTCCATTTCTCAGGACCTGGGCAATTACTAAAGCCAACTTTCATTTTACTATCACATGTTAAAATCCTCAAAACTTGTGTATATCCCTCTGCTTGAGGTTCAGTGCATTCTAACCTCAAGGCAAAGTCTCATGGAAAATAAACAAGAGGGATCCGTGACTTCAAAGCAGATGCTTTGTAGGCTCCAGAAGGAGCTAATGGAGCCTCTCTGAGGCATTTTGGCACTGTAGTCTCTGAGCTATGTTTTGTGTGGGAAATCTCTTTTGTGCTTGGCCAAGAGGAAACAAATGCTTGTGACTGCTGAGTTTCCTGGGACTGAGGGGGCCACAGGGTAGGAGACCTCCTTCACTGTCTACTGCCCCTTTCCTTCTGGGCCAGCGGCCTCAGCTCATCAGATGCTAGCCTGAAGACCAGGACAAGAGTGCCTTCTCACGCATGGTTGTTCTTGACTTGGCCACTGACATCGTTCCTAGGGGACCAATAGTCTCCATTATTCCAGCTCTTTCTGGAATCTTAAAGCCTAGGAACATTGCTTGCTGTCAAAAAAAAAAAAATAGAACAAGACAAAAATTTCAAGATGCCCTCCCTGAAAGCCAGTCTCTCACAAGGGAATGCCTGAGGACTCTACTTCCATTCCTACATTTCCCAGTGCAGCCCAGGGCTGTTTAAACAGGGCTTCCTTCTTATGTAGCTAATCAGCATTCAGGACTGACTTGGGGTTCAGCAATCAGATGGCCATCAAATTGTAGCTCTCCTTAATTCTTTCTGTAGTTCCTTCCAAGCATCAGTACACTGGACACTTATCAGGCATACAGTCTACAGAGCCAAGTTTCATGTTTCCCAAAAATGACCATCACTGCTAGGCCAGTCTGGTGTCTCATGATATACATCAGTGGAGCCCTGTTGATGACTAGATGCATGCCCTGACTCTATCAGTGTGCTGGGGTTGGCTGTAGGCGTTCTCACCCACACCAACCCGACGGTTTAGAGGTAGAATGAGATGCTGAGCCACTGAAGTTTGGGGTGTACAGACTGTTCTTACCCTCTGCTTCAGTGGGCCCTTTCTATTTGTACCAAACAAAGTTCACATCAAAGGATTTTAGGATGGCACAGATGGGGCTTAGGCAAGTACCAATAGTTTCAGGAATTATTATTTCAGTCATGTGAGGAAAGACAAAGTTTCATGCTGTCTAGCTGCTGCCCACAATGTCCCAGATGCAGCTGACTGGAGGTCCAACTCTGAGAAAAGGAATGACAGAACTTCAGCATGCTGTGTGTTGATTGGAATTTGCAAATTAATTTGTATGTGAAGGAATCAGTAACTCAACTGTTTCATTTTAAAACAAACAAAACCCCTTCCATTTACCTGAGGCTCAGATTTATGGTTTTTAGCAAAGCCACAGATTAAAACAAAACAAAAAACACTATGCAGCTTCTTTTCAGCAAGAATAATGACCTGAAAGAGATCCTTTCTAATTGTTGACTTTATGGCAATTTGAAAAGCTTCAAATGAAGACTTTAAGCCCAGGCAGCAGTCTTCAGATTTTGACTGCAAATGGAGATTTCCATATAGTCAGAAGCATAGAGCCTGCTGTCTCTCTTCTCATCTCCAAGAGCCCTGCAGATAGTGTTCCTCCAGACCACAGAATTGAGGGTTAAAACACTCATAGAGAACATTCACACTGAACTTACAAGTTGTGACAGTCATAACAATGCGACACACCAGCCCTCACTGCAAGATTGCCCAGATATTCAGTGGGCATGATAGGAAGTATTAAGCCAGACATTTTTGGTGAGGTTAAGGCAAATTTGCACAAAGCAGACATTGAGGCTGGGGCTTGGCACACAGGAGAGTCACTGACCATAAAACAGCAGCTGTTTCCTAACAGGTCTAATCCCAACCACGATGACGGTGAACAAACAAAACAAAAACACTAACACCTTCACGGAGAAAAATGCACCTTTCCCCAATTCACACCAAAAAGCTTCTCATCTATAGCATTCTGGTGTCAGAAACAAGATCCAGGGGCATTCTCTTCAGCTTCCTGAGGCGTCACGTAAGGACAAGGACGCTGGCTTGCTCACTCGAGCATTGATGCACACAGACACTGATTTAAAAGGACCCAAGTGAACCAGAAATAAGTCAAGAGATGCCACTCATGATGAGCAGGCAGTAGGCCACAGTCACAGCCACAGGCCACTGTAAATTAAGGACATTCCAAGAAGGTACCTAAACCTCCTATGCTGGGACAGGCCAATGCCCCCAGGGGCAAAGTACAGAGCCACAGGGTTGCCACAGCGAGCCACAGCTGCCTTCTTCATGTCTCCCGTGTCCCTGAAAAGCAGGACTGTTGTTCTGTCCCACAACGGTAATTGGGCTGCCCCCCAAAGTGATGTCATGTGTCATCTGGGGGTTGTCCTGTCCCTTAGTTTCAAGTCTTCATAGTGTTCCATTTAGGAGGTTCCTTCACAATATGGAGGTATGCTTCTGTGGAGAGATGATTACAGCCTCATAGACTCCTCCAGGGAATAAATACTAAACTGAAAACAACCATGGGGGGAGGGAGAGGGAGAAAGTACACAAACGAGAGGTGCTGTTGTGCTGTTTTCCCACGACCACCTCTCCGGCACTGCAGGGACATTCTGGTTCAGGGTGCCACGCCCTGTGGAGGCAGAAGAGTCTCTGTCCCAAGAACAAATCTACTTGGTCTCTTGTTTCTCTTGCAGTAGTGGAATAATCGACTCCCACGCCATGAGGCACTGAAACGACAACATGCAGACAAGTTCAGCTGCTTAGTGCTGCTTGCTCTGTCAATCCTTATCCTGCTGGGTCACCTCTGTCTAGTAGCACCTACCTGTGTTATTAAAACTATATCCAATAGAGGAGGTGGCAGACAGGTGTTTGTCTGGAATATGAAACAGCAATGTCCTTACAAAGCTTGTATGCATTCATGATAGTGCCAAGCCTACATCCAGGGAATAGAGATGGATTCACTCTAAGAAGATCATTCCTTTGACTAAGCAAAAATTAGATCAGGCAGGAAACTCTGAGGACACAGTTCTGAGTACCCATGAAGACATCGTTGGAGGTATGGGAGGGGCTTGTACAAGGATGTAAACATGAAAGGCCAGTCACCTGAGTCAGGACAGGCGGAAAACCTGCTCTTATTCACCAACCTGAAGCTTGGTCTGTTTGTTTGGGCCACTCTTAGATATCCCCAAAGAAGGGAGTCCAACAACTTTTACAGTTATTCCTGTGTATGTGAAGGGTAGGGGTACATGAACTATGATGTGTGTGGATGTCAGGACAACCTTAAGGGGTCAGTTCTCTCCATCCACCATGTGTGTTTTGGGGATCAAATTCAAGCTGTCAGGCTTGGCAGAAAGCACCTTTACTCACTCCAGTGAGCCATCTCAATGGCCAAACTATCAGGCTTTATTAGACCCATATACTGTTATGTATTTTATATTCAGTGTCACATGGTTCATAGTCAGAACATGAATGCAAACTAATATTCCTTTCACTGCAAGTTTTCATTCCAGGTCCTTATGACAGGCCATGAACTTAGAAGACTTGGGTACTGCCTCTGAGTGTGGCTGGCTCAGTAGACATATTCCTCCCTCTGAAGAGCCTCTTGCAAAAGGGAAGGACAAACCCACTGTAATTGACAGCCTTGGGGTGAGGGAGGACTCCATGCTGAGTCACTGGGGGAGGCATTCTGCAGAGGTAGGAAGAGAGAGGCATCATCAGGTCAGGCAGAAAGAGGAGTGGTGAAACTTCTCCCTGATACCTTACTAGGCAACTCAGAAGCCTGCCCTAAATACAGTAAGGCTTGCTTCCAGCAAGGAGCTGAAGGGAAGTCCATAGAACTCCAAACTCTAAGCTATCCCCTCCTATCTACTACAAGTGTTCTTCTGCATGTCTCAAGAAGAACCATGACTGATCAAACTTTCTTTTTGATCCTTAAATGTGTCAACTCTTTTCTTGCTCAGGGACCTTGCAGATGTCATTCCCTTTGCCTACAGTATGGTTTGTCAGATCTTTGGCTCTACGGGTCAGAGCAAATGTTACTTCCATAGACAATAATAGAATAATAAAACGTTATTTTGTGTCCACTCTACTAGAACCCCGGTATGTTCTTCCTCTTCCTTACATTTAACACAGTTCCTTTACCCTTACCTCTAGGAATCCATCATTAACACATCTCTCATGGACTGAGGATGCCTAGAGGGTTGTGCAAATCCGCTGTTTATCAACTTTGTAAACAAGTCTTTGCATAAAAAAAAAGTACAGGAAAAAAATGTCAAGCAGTAGAAGCCAAGACCAGGTCTCAAGATAGCCACCCTGTTTATGGTAAAATGGGAAGAAGACTGGGTCTGAGTTTGCCTTCTGGGACTTTAGAGATGGTTGGTTTTAGACTGGGAAGTAAGAACATCAAGGTAACTTTTATTGAGTGTTTGCCACATGCTGAGTATGTTCTTGTAACGTGAATGTGCCTTTTGCTTTATCTTCACAACCAACCTGTGAAAAATGACTAGCACTTATAAATCAGAAACTAGAGGGATGGGCAGGAGCCTTGCCTAACACAGCAAGGCCTTGACTTCATGTGGGGAACTTCCTACCTTTGAGGAAGCAAGGCTGTTTCTGAAAGTGTGTGGCCACTGTCTCCTAAGCTGACCGTGTGTGGGGACAATCCAGACTTACGGTTCTATCAGTTGGATACTCATTATTTGGCATTCAAAGGGTGGGCCAAATTGGGAGGAATTTTTAAACATCTGTGAGTATTGGTTACTTTAGCTTCAAATTGAAAAATCATAAAATCTTGTTTGTCACTTGACCTGACCACGAGGCTTGGGTCCTGGAACCCTGACTAGGCATGCAGAAGAAAAAAGGCCAAACATACAGACACACATGCAGCAAAGCTGGGATCAGGTGAAGGGTGTGCTCGCTCTGATAGAGGGCTCCTAATGCCAGCATCATGGAACTCCAGTGAGTTCATAAGGTACAGCACAGGGGGGAGGGGCTAGCTAGTATGTAGATCTCCGTAGGCAGCCTCAAGCTGTAAACATCTGGAGGAGGAAGCTGCAGTTCTAGTCTTTGCAACACCCTGATCATTTGCTCAGAAACACTCACACTCAGACCCCAAGGAAGCTTTCCTATTCCTCCTGAGCCTGGCCCAGGATGAAATGGGTGTGCCAGTTTCCCATGGGTCAGAGACCTCAGAGGCCTCGAAATGGGTCAACAATACACATTTACTCAGGACTTCGCTCACTAGGGCCTAACTCCGATGCCCACACCACTTAGCCTTGATGGAAAGTTAAATATAATGAGTTGACACATGCTAAGCATCCCGGCGAGATCCAGTTCAGAAGCAGCAGGGACTCCAGAGAAAAGGCAGGGAAGGATAGAGGGCATCTCCATCTCCTCCCACTCAACTTTGTTTCCTTGACTTCCCTTTAGTAAGCTGGGAAAAAACATGCACACCATCTCAGAGCAGCAGCCACAACCATCTAAGTCTCAAAGACAGCCTAGGCCAAGAACGTGTCCTAGGGCTACAATCTAGGAGATATTCCTGTCCCTAACACTTTCCCATACAATGAGAGGCTGCACTGAACTTCAAGGCCACAAGTTATTTCAACTGAAACTAGGCCATTGTTTCACTATATGTGTAGGCTACAAAAGACATCAAGATTCATTATCAGAAATCAAATTAGACACATTAGGAGTGAACCTTGATTTGAGGAGATGACTCTCCCTCTAACTCTGCCCTCCTGTGTGTGTGTGTGTGTGTGTGTGTGTGTGTGTGTGTGTGTGTGTGATGAGAGAGAGAGAGAGAGAGAGAGAGAGAGAGAGAGAGAGAGAGAGAGAGAGAGAGAGAGAGAGAGAGAGAGAGAGAGAGAGAATGGGAAAGTTTAACCTGAGGTCCAAAGATCAAGAGGATACGTTGCTTTCCTGTGTAATGCTGTATAACTTTATTTTAGGTATTTAAAAAGAATATTTTAAAATATAACATTAAAAATAAATGTGATTTTGGTAAGATGTCTACCAGCTTCAACAGATGACTAAAGGAGGTTCATGGCATAGTGAAAATGAACCCTTTATGTGGAACCACAAGGTAACATAAGAAACCCCAAAGCCTTCATTAACTGGGGGTACCCAAGTACTATCTCACTGGGTCTGGGAAGCAGCCAGCTGTCCAAACCAAAGGCCACCTCCTCCAGCAGTGTGTAAGAGACAGACATGTATGAGAACTGGGGCTCTGATTTGAAATTCAGCACTGCTCTGCCAGGGCACTCGGAGTAGCTCAGATGCAAGTTAAGGATGGGACAAGGGGATCGTGCTTTGGGATTTCTGGAAGACCCGTCATGAAAGGCTCTGGCCACTAGAAACCACAGTGGCATGGGGCCTGCTTCTCACCTTCTCATAATACTGGATATTCTTGTCAGCCAAGCCCACGAGCAGCTGCCGGAAATCATGGCGCTTGTTGCTCTGCCACCTCTCCATATCAGCCTTCAGGTCAGCGTTGAAGCACTCCATCCTATCCTGGCACTTCTCCACATCTGCTGGCACCTGGAAGCGAAATATATTTGTGGCTTTGAAGTGTGATTGGTTTCTCCTACTGTGAGCTTGTCCTCAAACATTTGTAGGGAGCCAAAGTGCTAAATTAAGATGTCCAAATGCAGCTGGGCAGTTGTGGTGCACGCCTTTAATCCCAGCACTCAGGAGGCAGAGGCAGGTGGATCTCGGCCAATATCCAAGGCTTCTCATTGGCTAGTTCTGTCTTAAGTATTAATCCATGACTACTAATGTGTGTGTGTATACACATATATATATACATATATATATATATATATATGGACTTATCTTTTAGAGGATGCCATCCTGATCATCCTGATGTGTCCTCTTTTCCAGGGATCACATGGCGATCCTCGACTATTGACTACATTTCCCAGAATCCTCCTCAACTCCTAGTCCCACCTATCTTGCTTCCCTATTGGCCAACAGTGCTTTATTCAACAACCAATAAGACAAACATATACATAGAAGGACTTCCCCCATCAGTTTGGGATCCTTTTAGGATTTACTCATCCATGCTGACAAGCAGGGACAGACTGCACACACAGCAGCAGGCCCCATATACAGCACTGCATAAAGAAAGGGTTTCCTGGGTTGTGGGAACTAGTCTAATACTTGTGACGTCTGATGAAGCTCTTCCTCACTTATCTGAGTGAACTGTAGTAACAAGACTACCAGCCAGCTCCTGCCTTTGAGCTGCACATCATAAATGAACTGGGTACCCTTCTGTACTCTATGTGGCAGATAACCAGAAAGTCCAAGAATAGAAGGAAAATTGTTGAAGGTATGAAAAGAATTTGAAGCATAATATAACAGGTGGTTTTAAGTTTTTCTTAAGGTTTAGGAAGACTTTCTCCATAGGAAAGTGTGTCCCCTGGGTTTCGTAACCTTCACTTTGCTGTGGTGAGATGCATTTACCCCATGTGGCTAACGAGAGCCTCCTGGTCACAGTGGTTTTCTAAAACTAGATTTTCTGTCTTATCTCGTGTGTTGTAGAATACTATTTTAAGATGTGTTATGCCTGTTTATGCTGTGCAACATTTGTTTTAATGATGCAAAGATGTGTTGCATTCTTTTTTATTTATTATGCATACAGTATTCTGCCTGCATGTATGACTGCCTGCTAGAAGAGGGCACCAGATCTCACTACAGATGGTTGTGAGTCACCTTGTCGGTGCTGGGAATTGAACTCTGGAAGAGCAAGCCAGTGCTCTTAACCTCTGAGCTATCTCTCCAGCCCGTGTTGCATTATTTTATGTTGCATTTGTTTAACTCTGTGAAGCTGTGATTCTCTGCCTGTCTAAAACACCTGATGGTCTAATAAAGAGCTGAATGGCTGATAGGTGGGGCTGCCAAGCAGAGATATAAGTAGAAGAAGAAATGAGAAAAGGAGGAGGAGGAGGAGGAAGGAGAGAACAAGAAGAGGAGAATACTAGGGGCCAGTCACTCAGCTACACAGAGTAAGGAAAGTAAGGTATACAGAAATAGAGAAAGATAAAAGCCAGAGGCAAAAGGAAGATGAGATAATTTAATACAAGAAAAGCTGATTAGAAGCAAGCCAAGCTAAGGCTGGGCATTCATAGGAAAAGACAAAACTCCGTGTGTGTGATTTATTTGGGAGCTGGGGGGTGGGCTCCCCAAAAGAACAAAAAGTAAGAGCAAAGAATAAAAAACAACTAACAACACGAGTGCTCCATTGGACCCATACAGTGGTCAGGGCTCAGCATGCCCAAAGCTAGGCCAACACTTGCCAGAAGCAAATGATACCTTGACGGTTTTAAGGTCCCAGACCAATGAACCCAAATGTCTCCAAGCTACAGGCCTAACTATTGAGAGTCAGTTTCTGTCAATATGGCAAGGACGGGGCTGAGGGAACTAGGCACCTTCTCTTATAAAGCTGCCAAGCGATATGACTATGAGGACTGCTGACAGCTGACACTCAGGCTTGCAGGTAGGTGACATCGCAACCCTGTTTCTTGTTTGTGTGTTTCTGTGACAATTAACTGACGAGTAACACCTAGCATTCCTTATTGTTACTCATGCTCCTTGTATCCGACAGACATTGGGAAGGCAATATCCAAGGATAACAGTTGGGTGTTCTCTACCATAAGATACAAAAGTTCAGGGTTCTGTGCCTAGCTGTGTGGCTGAGTGACTGGCCCCTAGTGTTCTCCTCTCCTTGTTCTGTCATTGGTCTTAGGACCTGCTAAGGCCTCAGATGGCACAATGTCTGAACAGAGAATAAGCAGCTGTGTTCCCACACAGGTTCCTCCATGTCTGGTTGAGAAATCCCATCAGAGAAGGCTGAGGTGTGATGATCTGTATGGTGCTAATGGTTGTTTGTTCACCTGTTCTGGGCTCTAACACTGGACATTTGTGTGTGTTACAGTGCGGGGTGGTAGATTAAATCCACTCCTAGTACATATTCTTGAGCTCTGTTTGTGGGCAGGGCATTTCCAGGCCCTAATATATGTAAATCTCTGCCTGCTTCTTTCTCAAAGCAAGGCCAGAGAGTCACATTATTTATTCCTCCACGACAGATTAATAAAATCTCCCAGGAATGTAAGACTGACAAAAATCCCAAGACTTTAGGGAAAGAGATGTTCATGGCTTCAAGTCCTAAGACCAATGACAGAACTAATTTCTCTGTCACATATGAAACAGTAGTTCCTCAGTCAAATACACCGAGTAGAGCAGTTTCCTTCCTGGCAACCATGAATGGCAGCACATTGATCTTCACAGCCCAGGAAGCCAGAACCCTAGACATGGTATCTCCAGCATCAAGCAGTCTCATCTGTTTACCTGTGTGTAGTACACAGAGGTTTCTATGTGAGCCTGAGGTAGGAAAACAGAAGGACAGAGTAAAGACACGAACTTCCAGAGAACATGAGGAGAAGAGAGAATCAAGTGCCTAAGAAAAATCAAAATCAAGGGCACATTCACAGGATGGAATGATACATGCTTGGAATTGCAGCATTAGGAAGGCAGACGTGAAGACAGCCAATCAGGGCCAGCCCAAACTACTGAGTAAGGCAACAACAGGGTGCTGGGGTATAGTTCAGCAGTACTGTGCTTGCATACTATGCGAATTCCCTGAATTCGAATCCCAACATGGGGGAGGAAGAGTTGTTGCCCTTTGACACACCTGTGGTCACTGTCAACTTGTCTGGATTGTAGAATCACCTAAGAGTGTCTGGGAATCTGAAAAAGGGTTTCCAGAGAGGCTTGACTAAGAGAAGGCCCACTCCAAACATGGATGGGGTACCAGGCTAAATTAAAGACGGATAGGGACAGGGAAGCTTGACACCCATGTCAAGTTGGCACCCATGTTCATCTTTCTCTGCTTTCAACTGTGGGTGCAAGGTGCCTAAAATAGCAGCTTTCTGTCATTTTTTTCAAAAATTTCCTTTTAAAAATAACTATATTATAGCCGAGCGGTGGTGGCGCACACCTTTAATGCCAGCACTTGGGAGGCAAAGGTAGGCAGATCTCTGAGTTCAAGACCAGCCTGGTCTAAAAGAGCTAGTTCCAGGACAGCCTCCAAAGCCACAGAGAAACCCTGTCTCAAAAAAACCAAGCCAAAACAAAACAACAATAACAAAAAAACCAACTACATTATGTTATCTGTTAGTGGTGCACACCTTTAATCCCAGCACTCGGGAAGGAGAGGCATGCAGATTTCTTTGTGAATTTAAGGCCAGCCTGGGGTACAGAGCTAGTTCCAGGACAACCAGAGCCACACAAAGAAACCCTATCTCAAAAAAACCAAACAACAACAACAAAGCAAAGCAAAAACAAAAACAAAACAAAACAAAACAAAAACTGTATTTTTGTGGAGCATCTTTCCTGGCATCCCTCATTCTTTTTTGTTTCACTGTTTGCTTCTTGAGACAGCGTCTTACTGTGTATCTCAGGCAGGCTTCTAACTGGGGATTCCCCTGTCTCTCGGCTTCCTGAATACTGGGATTACAGGAATGTTCCACCAGGTCAAGGATATGTGAATGTATTAGCATGGAAAAGAGAAAAGGTGCAAAAACTACAGGTACTGAAGAGATGGCTCAGTGGTTAAGAGCACTTGCTACTCTTGCAGGACATGGGTGTGGTTCCCAGGACCAATGTGGCAACTCAGCACTACCTATAACTCCATTCCAGGGAATCCAACACCCTCTCCTGGCCTCCACAGGCACAGACACACACATGGTACATATACATACATATAAGTAAAACACTTCATGCAGATAAAGTAAATAAATCTTTAATGTGAAATTGAGTAAAATGTAAATGTCTTCTCCATGGTTCACCATCACTGTTTACTTAGTATGCCAATATTTATCCTGGTTTTACATGCTAAGTCCTTTGACCCTTCTGTAGTAACAGTTCTTTGAGTCTCTGAAGAGGACCAAATGCTAAAGCTTGTAAAGTCTGGTCATCATAGAACCAGCAGAAGGCAGCTGGTCTCCTCCTACACCTATGGCTTCTCAACATTAAAACTGGGAGGAAAGCTAAGTGCCTTAGTCAGGGTTTCTATAGCTGTAAAGAGACACCATGACCATGGTAACTCTTATAATAGAAAACATTCATTTGAGGTGGCAGCTTACAGTTTCAGAGGTTCAGTCCATTGTCATCATGACAGGGAGCATGGTGCTAAGCAGGATGACATGGTGCTGGAGAAGAAGCTGCTACAAGTTGATATGAAAGCAATAGGAAGTAGACTGAGTGTCACACTGAATGAAGCTTGAGCAAAAGAGACCTCAAAGACCACAGTGACACACTTCCTCCAACAAGGCTACACCTACTTCAACAAGGCCACACTCATAATAGTGTCATTCCCTTTGGGGCCATTTTCTTTCAAACCACTACACTAGGTCTACACAAAATACAGTTCAGCAAGCCAGTTCTCAAGACTCAAAACAGAGAAAAACTAGAAATCCTATACAATTATGTCTCCCTCAGCACTAGAAGTCTCACCAGCCCTGCCTCAGGTCTCACGAAAAGACCACTGAGGTCCTAGCCAGCACCTCAGACATGTGGGCTGCTCCTTCATACTGAGTGTTCCATCCTAAGATGACTACTGCATTTGAAGTGAGGATCAAAGAGACCCAGGAAGCTTTTTCCTTCCTCTGATTTACATAAAAATAATTAGGTTTTAGGCTGGGGACACAGCTCAGTGGAAAAGGCTCTCACTGTATAAGCATGAGGATACGTTTGGATTCCTAGAACCCACACAACTCTTCTGAGTGTCTGAAATGAGAGACAGAGATGGAATGCTTGGAAGCTCTCAGGCCAGGTAGCCTGGCATACACAGCAACGAACAGAGACTCTGAGGCTTCCAGGGGCATATATGGACACGGACACGACACACACACACACACACACACACACACACACACACACACACACACACACACACACACACAGAGTTTTTAAGTGATTAGATTTCAGTGTGCCATAGCTTCACAAAATCTCAAACTTCTCTCTCTCTCTCAACTTTTTTTAAAGATTTAACTTTCTGTTGCTATGTCTAAATCCAGCCCTCACTCTCTCTCACACACCAGACTACCAGTAACTAAAAGAGCTGGCTGAGTCCTTGGAGTAGAGCTAAACCTGATGCCCTGGCTTTACTTCACTAACAGCAGTTTTAATTCCATGAGCTCAAGCCATCTGAAGACAAGCAGAGCAAAGCCTAAAGTTGCTCTTTTCCTAGAGGTCTGTCTACATGCTGATGGGCAGGCAGTCATGGAGCAGGGGTGTTTGGGAAAGGTGGGAGCTTAGGACACAATGAATGTGCCTAAAACATAATGGCTCAAAAATGGCAAGAGACTGGAGAGGGGCAGAGTGAAGGGATCAGTGAATAAGTGCTGCCAGCATGAGGACCTAAGTTTGAATCCCAGACACACACGCAAAAGCCATTCCTGGGCAGGGTAGCCCTGGGTTGTATAAGAAAGTCAATTGAACAAGTCATAGAAAGCAAATCAGTTAGCAGCATTCCTCTATGGCTTCTGCTTTAGTCCCTGCCTCCAGGTGCCTGCCTCAGCTTCCTCTAATGGACTGTGACCAAGGAGAGGGTGTGTGTGTGTGTGTGTGTGTGTGTGTACCAAATAAACTCTTTCCTCCCCAGCTGCTTTTGGTCATGTTTTTTATCACAGCAATAGAAAGCAAACTAAGACAAAAAAAATGACTTCTGGGTTTTAAAAAAATAATTAACAGAGATTATGCCTATTGAAGATGTATGATTTGTTATGCATATAAACCATGTAATGATTACCATAATCACATAAGCACACATGGCACCCCTGAGGCACATTAGGTCTTCAGAATGTATTCATTTTATAACTAGAGGATTGGGCCTCTTGATTCTTGAGCATCTTCCTATTTCCCCACTTCCCAGAAACCACCATTCTGCTCTGTTTTTTATAAGTTCACTTCTTTAGGGTTTACACATGAGATCATAGCCATTTGTCTTTTTCTGAAGTGACCTCTATCCTCACAGTTAAGGCTAAGTCACAAAAGAGAAAGTATTTAAATATCTAGCCTTCCATGTCATTCCTTTTCAATGGGGCTGGACATGGACTCAGCACGTGGAACTGTGTTCCAGATCACAAGAACAGCTAGAGGTTTCCAGTGAAAGAGGCAGCATGAGGATGGCGGAGACTGGGCAGCTGCCTTCAATTCCACCATGGGTTCCTTACAGAGCACAGGAAGGGAACCCATGAGTCCATGGCAAGACAAGCAAGGGGTGGCAGGGGTGGGGGTATCCATTGCTACATGCTCTAGGCCAGTGACAAGCTGGCTAATCTTGGTTGTTAAGTTGATGAAACTTAAGAGTCACCATGGAAGCGAAACTCCAGTCATGTTTGTGAAGGGTTTCTAGATTGGGCTAATTGAAGTAGGCACCATTCAATGAGCTGAGGTTGTCCACCGGAGAAAATGAGTTGGGTATACTAGCGCCCATGGCTCTTTGCATCCTGGTTGTGATACCACGTGACCGGCTGTTTCATGCTCTTGCTGCCACGTCTTCCCTACTATGCTGGACTGAAGCCTCAAACTGTAAGTTAAAGTAAAGCCTCCCTTCCTTTAGTTACTTCTGCCAGAACAAGGAGGAAAGTAACCAAGATGTGTTCCTATTCCACTTTCTAAGACACAGGCAGCACTCAAGTTCTGATGTGGATTGTTGTGGGATAATTGTACACTGTGTGAAAGCGTATTGCTGTGATTGTTGTAATAAAAAGCTGAACAGCCAATAGCTAGGCAGGAAGTAAGGAGGGACTTCCAGGGAGAGAAAGGAAGAGGAGGGGGAATCTAGGCACACAGGAGACACCGGGAGACACTGAGGCGGGAACAGGAAATGCAAGATGGAAGAGAGGTAACACCACATGGTAGAATGCAGATTAATATAATTGGTTAACTTAAGTTATAAGAGACAGGAACAAGCCTAAGCTATATGCTGAGCTTTCATAATTAATAAGAAGTCTCTGTGTCATTATTTGGGAGCTGGCTGGCGGGACAAAAAAAAAAAGAGTAGTTACAGTGACTCCCTATGGTGACACATGAATCAACACAACAGACATGCATCTCCACCTGCTATGATGGCATACTGGGTACAGGAACATCTGCATCCAAAACACTAAGCAATACACAGAACTTCTCTGTGACTCACTTCCCTGCCCATGGAATGGGGTAAGAATACTGTCTCCCCTCTGGGTCAGATGACTAGCACAGTATCATGTGAAACAATTAATTCTTTAAAAGAGAAAAGGTGAACACCATGTCAAGGAATTGTGTCTGGGTTTCAAATTCCCCAAGTCTGTTCCAAGGAAGGGTGGACAGATGACTAGTTCTGATGTCAAACTGAACATTGGTCCTTACTATTAGCTTTCTAATAACATTCCCTATGCCCACCCCTTCTGTGAACACAACTACAAATCACAAGCACACAGAAGGAGAATATTGGTAGTGGAAGGTCCTATGCTTAAGTCTAAGACTGCCAGTCAGCATCAGCAGGGAGCCTGCAGTGTTCAGCCCAGCCTTTGCTGGGTGCTATTCTGACCTTGGGACGATCTTCCTTTCTCAGAGCCACAGCTTCCAGTTTGGCTTCATACTCTGCTTGAACTTGGTCTCTCTTCTTCAGGACACTCTGTGGGAGTTAGAGAGAACATGTTAACAGCCTGCAAAGGGGCCTCCAACTCCCAATCCAGCCATGTGCTCCCAGGACCGGGATTATGGTTCACAAGCTACACGTAACACCAACACTGAGAAAAGGATGGAGAAGGAAGGAGAACCAATCCTGGAACCCCGCCCGATTTTGGGAAGAGCGAGTGGGGACGATGTGCCAGACTGCCCAGAGGCCTCTCAGTCTTACCGTGTACAGAGAACTCAGGCAGATGCCAAGCTCTGTGCTTAAACAGAGCTCTGTGTCTCTGGATTCAGTGCAAAAAAAAAAAAAACAATCAAAATAGTTCTTAATTGTAATTATTAATTTATATAATTGACAAAATTCCACATATTTATTGTGTACAAATGTGCCAAAATACACGCATATTATGGTGTGGCTACATTGAGCAAATTAACAGACACTACCTCATGCTCACCACTCTGTGGTGAGAGCATATAAATCTGTTCTCAGCAGTTTTCATGAATGCACTATCAGCTAACGTCACTCTGTAATAGAGTGCTTATAGGAGAGTTCTTGACTCCTTAGTGTTGGGCTGATCCCTGGTGGACTCATCTGTCCTCTTCCATTAGCCACTTGTTTGTTCTCTACTCTGGGTCAGGTATGGGGTGCAGAGACTCAGTCCTCAGCTGAGGGTTCAGTCTGAGAAAGGTATAGAAGGCTGCAGGTACAGAAGCTCTGTGTGACAGGTCTGAGTCCCTAGAACCATGCAGCAACTTGCCAGGATGAGTGGCAAATGGGCTCAATGACAGTCAGCCTGGGAGGGACAGAGGTGAAGCAAGCTTCACATGAAAAGCGTAAGCGCATGTTCACCTGAGCGTGAACAGTACCTTGAGCCATGCCCTAGGCTCCCCTCCTTTCCCCCAATCTTATTCCTGCTGCCCAGACCCTACAGTGCCAGATACAAGAGCTTGCAATACAAAAAGCACACCTCAGTTCTTCCTTCCCCTCAACCTTCTTCTGGTACATTACAAAATGGCAAACCAGGAATGGTGAGAGCCTTCTTACCCACTGACTCAGAAGCAACAAATTACCAAGACATTTTCTGGTTTTTTGTTGATGGTGGGGTTTTTTTGTTGTTGTTGTTGTTGTTGTTTTTGGAGACAGGGTTTCTCTGATTGTTTTGGAGGCTGTCCTGGAACTCGCTCTATAGACCAGGCTGGCCAAACTCACAGAGATCCACCTGCCTCTGCCTCCCGTGTGCTGGGATTAAAGGCATGCGCCACCAACACCCGGCTCCAAGACATGTTCTAATCATATTCCACACAGGGACCTTCCAACACAGAATGGAGTCAGGGCAGGAAGGATCCATTCCTGAACTAAGTGATAGGCACTCGGTGTCCCTGGGGATGTGTTCAAAGGTGCTGAGTGACTAATGTCTGAGGGCATTCTACAGCCTATCTTCTAAAAGGAATCATCCACCTTGGTAGCCCAAGTCTTCTGAGGAATTTACTTTGAAGAATACATCACCGGTAATCATTCGTCCTCCAGGTGGGCCAGTCGTCTTTCTCCTAAGTGCTCTGATGCTCACTCCCCACCCTCGTGAATGTCTCCAATGGAGCTTTCTGTTGTGATGGAAATGTTCCACAACACAGCAGTTACTAGCCCCATCTGCCTGTCAAGTACCTGACATGTGGCTCAGGTGACTGAAGAAACAGATTTGTGTGTGTGTGTAAGTGCAGGTTCCCACCAAGACCAGAAATGTTATATCCCCCTGAAGCTTGAGTTATAGACAATTGTGAGCCACCCTATGTGGGTGATAGAACCATAATTTATGTCCTCTGCAAAAGTAGCAGGTGTTCTTAACCATTAAGCCATCTCTCCAGTCCTGAATTTGTATTTATCTTTGAATTTGGGGTTACTTAAATCATTATATATGGCCAGTGGCTATCACATTAGACAGGCTAAGTCTATAATACAAAACAAAGGAAAATAACAAGAACCTAGGATTTCTGACTTCACAAAGCCTAGGTTATAATCTAAATCTACCTGGCTGTTACCACCCAAGAGAAATGAACACATGATGCTGTCTGTGGGAGCGGTGGCATCTTATTCAGTGTGTGTATTCCCTTCACAGAATGCTGCACATCCTACTGGAAAAAGTAGGCATTTGCAGTCTAGCACTTCAAGGAATGAAGTTGCACAGACTTGTTCTCTGTTGGTGTGACCAGAATCTCAAAATCAATATTCTTGAGAAAATGCCTGGGACGGTCAGCCCAGTGTATGACTTTCCCTCTTTTTTATTATGTCACTTTGTTAAGGATGCCAAGACCCTTGCAGAGAGAGAAATGAGAGAAGATGCATTTACCCTAGACTATGGTTACCATAGTCTAAAGGGCAACTATTTATCCCATTCCACAAAGAAGGCAAGAGAAGCTCAGATCCAGTTAGTCTGGGCTGCTCTTCTGTCCACACCTCTGCCATCCAACCTCCCCTGGAGTAAATGGGATGTTGTCTTCATGAGCCGGCTGGTGGGAGAATCTGGGCTCCAGAATCACTGGATGGCATAAAAGACTCCCAACAACCTAGTGGTGACAAAGGACATAGAGTGTACCTACTGTATGAAGTCACACTGCTGATGACAGGACAGCAGCAACTCAGTGCCCACCATCTTCTGACTTAGGGTTTCACAGCCTGACCACAACCCAGTCATGCTGAAGGTTGGGCATCCTCTAAGGGGACCCTCTACACACTGTTGGCCATGTTGAGGATGGCTCCCCACTCCAAACACACAGTCTCTGGGGATACAACTGGCCAAACCAGCTTATGACTGGTAGAGAGGGTTAATATAGGAGTGAAAGGGCCAAGAAGCTCCATCTACAGAGGGACCCCTACCTCCAATAACACACAGAAGCCACCTGAGCCTCCTGGTGTCACTAGCTTTCCTCCCCCACTTAGGGGAAGAGAACAAAACCTAACAGTTTTGCCTTCATGGAGCGTCCATGCCAGAGAGGAGGTGGACAACAAACAAGTCAGCAGGACTAGAGGCAGCACGACGTGTCACCATGGAAAAGTAAAACAGGGACAAATATGGGAAGGACTGAGGGTTTAGGGGACGGTGAATTTAGTTAGACAGAATGGGCTTCTCTTGGATGCGGTTTTCAGATGGAGAGCACTTCAGCGGGATCTTAAGTGGTCCTGTGAATCTGGATCTTCACTGGTTTTCTGTTCAGATGAAGGAAAGGCTCAGCACTCACTTTTAACAAGAAAATTGTGAGGAAAAAATGGAAAAATATTTTAAAATATTTAAGAAACCTCTCAATGAATATATGGATTCTGATGGGTTTTGGAGGGAGGACTATAAAAATTATGTGAGACAACTTGAGCACTATTGGATAGGTGACCACAATAAGAAACTGGTTTTTTGTGTTTGTGTGTGTGTGTGTGTGTGTGTGTGTGTGTGTGTGTGTGTTACATTGCATACCCATGTTCATGCATACAGAGACTAGAGGAGGACATTGGATGTCTCCCTCTACTAATCTCCACCTTATTCTCCTGAGACAAGAACCTGGAGTTTACAGTTCTTCTGTACAACCATCCTGCAAGCCTCAGTAACACTCCTGTTTCTGCCATCCACTACCGCCATCCAGCACTAGGACTACAGGTGCACGTAGCCACACTTGGCTTTATATGGGTTCTAGGAATCCACATTCAGTTCCCCACGCTTTCTCATAGCGAGTGCTCTTAACCAACTCCCCTCACCCAGCCATCTCTCTAGTCCAGTAACTGTTCATGATTCTTTCCACAGTGCTGAGTATTGAACCTTGGTTCTCAAGCATGCTAGCCAAATATTCTACCACTGAGCTACCCAGCCCTTATAACAGCCCATTATAACATTTGTGATGATGATACGGTTTTTTACTTGACTATAGGAGCATGTATACAAAACTATAATGATGCTTGGAATTTGCTTTAAAACACAAGGGGTGAGGTGGGAGTGGCTGGGTCATGAGTGGGTAACTCTTGAACTCTTGAATATGTGATGTGGGCTTGTTAGACTTTCAATTTCTGGACATGTTTGAACTTTTCTACAACAGAACTATCAAACAATGCAAACATAATACCTGTCATCCAGAATGAATATAATGAACTAACAGTACCAATGATTAGACTTATGACATGTTTGTGGCAAACAGCCTCTGCCTAGCTGTTTGTACAATGAGAAAACCACCTGGAGGAATCAGGGACATATTCTGTGGTTTGACTTTCAACATCAACACTAGATTTTTTCCAAGAAAAAACCACAATTGTGAGTATATCCCAGACAGCACAACATGTCTTCACCTGAGCTCAAGTCTATGTCTCCCCAGGGAAGTCTGTGAGCTCATAAACTATGGGAAGGGAAAGAGGCTCCAGCAGCTGCCAAGAGGCTGCCTCAAAGACTCACTCCGGTACAGTCAAAGCTAGTACCGATAACTGCCATCAAAGCCAAGCCAGCAGGACCTTCTAGTGCTGAAGCCATCGGCAGGTGGAGGAAAGGTGACATCCAGATCTCCAGTCAGCTCCCAGTCAAGTTCAGTTTTCCTAACAAATACCAAAGTCCCTCTCAAAAATCTAAAACATCAGAAAGTTTGCTGGGCATGGTTACATATACATTTAATCCCAGCACTCAGGAGGCAGAGGCAGGCTGATCTCTGTGAGCTCAAGGCCAGACTGATCTATATAGCAAGTTTCAGGACACAAAGAAACCTCGTCTCCAAATAAGATAAAATATCAAAGTTTTTTTGGAATAGGCAACTATAGGATTCTCTTGGAGTGTAAAATATGGACAAGGATTTTTAGACAGCATGAGTATTCAATGACAAGGGGACCAATGAAGACAGACATCACTATCTGGAAGTATCATTCAAGCCCCTTGCACCAACCATCTTCCCCAAAACACTTCCTCTTCACCATGCCCTTCCCCCACACTGAAGACAATCCTCCCTGCCCCATTAACCTGATCAATGATCAAGAAACTCAGTACAACAATGCCTCACACATGTGGTGACGAAAGAGACAAGCCACCACCTCTATGCCATATGACCTCAGTTGCTCCAGAAACCCTATGCCTCACAGGCCCCTGTTTTAATTAAGATTGCAGATAAATCTTTGCTTAACAATAATTTAAAATCCTACTCTGAGAACAAATGTATATTGAACATTAACACATTTGCCACCTGCTAGAATAGAAAAGTTTGTATAATACCCTAAAACTGTGCATGCATTGGATTCTGTCCAAGCAAGGTTGGGGAGCATCCTGATGAAGGGTGTGTGTATAAGAGTCAAATCCAGACAAATGCCAAGGAGTTTAAAAAAAGAAAAACAAAAAACTATTCTCTGTTTACAAAAGCAAGCACTGTTAACCTTGCAAACAAAGTGAAAAATGTTTTGGTTCATTTAAAACAAGCCTTCCTATGCTTGTTTCAACCACACAATTAAAAATTCTTCCTATGCACATCTATCTATATTTAAAAGCAATGTAACAGGTGAAGTTTTGGGTTTTCAGCTTCTATTCCAATGATCACCAGCCAGCTCACCTCTGCGCTGAGCATGGTGATATATGCCTGGAAGTTAGTTTGTACTCAGTGGGGCACTGGGCATGGTGATATATGCCTGGAAGTTAGTTAGTACTCAGTGGGAGGGTCAGGAGTTCAGGGCCATCCTTGGCTACCCGAGGGGACTGTTTGGAGGTGTACTTTCAACACAGAACCATGTGAGGAAGATAGATCCTTTCTCTACCTGGTGCTACCCTCACAGGAGTCCCCTGAAGCTGTGTTCTCAGTTAGGCTCTGTGAGCCACCATGTGGGACACCAGAACGTCTCCATTCTTGCGCTATATAGAGATATATGGATCTGTGTGTCCTCACAGCTGGATTTTCGCACTCAACAGCACTAGACCAAAGCCATTCTCACTCTTACACCTTTTACATATCACCTCTTTCTCCCGTAAGTTTACAATGGTATCCGTTGATTGGTTCTCCTCTCATCCATTGTTCCGGGACAACTAGCACATTCTTTATAATCAAAAAGCTTGTATCTTCAGGTTTGGGAGATTTTTCTTGTATTACTTCTTTCTTAATTTCCTTCCCTTGGCTATTCCTGTTCCCTCAGTCAGGAATTCTCCAAAAGACGCTGAGCCTTGAGATTAATGCTGCACTGCCCCTCACCTTTTGTCAAAGTTTCGGCATATTTGCAGTTGTGTTTGACTTCCCAACTACTTTTTTTGGTCTTGCTTTCTAAGATTTCCCCAACTATATTTTCCAACTTTACCAATTTTATTTAACAAATCATGTGCTTTTTAAATTAATTTTTATGTGTATGGGTGCTTTGCCTGCTTGTATGTCTGTGCACCACATAAATGCCCATTGCCTGAGGAGGGTAGAAGTGGATTCCTGGATCTACAAACAATTGCAAGCAGCCATGTAGGTGCTGGGAATTGAACCTGAGTCCTCTGGAAGAGCAGCCAGTGCTCTTAATCACTGAGCCATCTGTCCATCCCCAATAAATCATGTTTTTAATTTACAAAGTTGTCTATTCATCCTTCCCCAACAGTATCTCAATCCTTAGTATGAGAACACCAATCATAAATTTCTCTAGATCTTTTTTTCCACTCATTTCATACACTATATGTCTGTGGTTATCAGTTTTACCAACTACAGAGAAGGGACAAGTACCACATGCGCCAATTCAGAGCTTTTTGATGAGTGTGCAAAAAGCAAGTCAGCTTACCTTCATGGAGTCAGAGTACAGAATGTATTCCCTGAGCACTGGGAGAAACTCCTCTGTTACATCATCTGTCAGTTCTTCCAAGGCTGTGGAGCAGTTCCCAATGCAGGCCGACACACCTTCCAGGGGCTCTGCTAGCTCGCCTTCCAAGGCGCTCCATGTGGAATACACGGGCCCATATTCCCTCAGCTCTACGAGGTACTCTACAAGAAGAGAAGACACTTGGGGTCTGGCTGGGGAGCTCTCACTCTATGATTGATTTAGGAATCTATAGCCCTGGCTGTTCTCTTTCCTGGGCATATCCTCCTTTTTTGTTGTTTTTTTTTTTTAGTTTCTCAAGGTAAGTCACTAATATCCAAATATCTAAGATTAGTGGTAATAGGAACCAAAATGCCTTATAGGGGAAAATGGCTAAGAGCCAAGCCCAGAGAACTTCTTTGGAAATAATCACCCCTACCCATGCTCCAAGTGCAACCTTTTACAACTCAATTGGGGGGAGATTTTCATATAGGTTCAGAGGGCCTTGGACACCTGGAACTGGAGTCGTGAGCCACCAGGTAGGTGCTAGGCACTGAATCCAGGCCCTCTGCAAGAGCAACAGGCAGTCTTAACCTGAGTCATGTCTCTAGTACTCAGCAGGAGGATCTTTAAAAAAAAATCATTCACAATGGAAAAAAAGAATTATAGGGAACATTTCACTGAAAGAGATATGGTCTTATATAGACAGACTCAGTCCCACACCCAATGGTCCTATCAGTGGTTGCAGGGAATAAGAAAATAAATTATTTCTTCACTCCTACAAGGTAAATCTGGGCCTTCATTTGTTACCAGGATTCTCGCCATTTTTGACAGAATATGGTTGCCGTTGTTTAACTATTAGGAAATGGCAGTAACTGACGTGTTTTAAAAGGCCTATGTGACAGACGTCTTGGCATGATAATCACATTGTTCGTGTATGCTTGGCCTATACCAGTGAAAGGGGACAAAGTGTCCGCTGTTACAAATGCGGCTAATCAGGTGACCATGTCAGGAGAAGGGTAGACAGGCAGTGGCTGTGATAAGGACGGACAGAGCTGGGCCTGAGCAAGTCTCCTGCTCAGAAGACAGAGTAAAGTGAAGTAGGGCAGGGTGAGGGGCAAAAGCTCACTGGGTCATAACCTTGGCAAACGCAGCTCCACACTCCTCTTTTGAACCATCTCTCTGCTAAGTTTATTTCTGTGATCAGCAGCCCTGTGAATGGAGGGCCTGGGGAAAGCACTATGCTCAGTGCAGACAAAGGACTGAGTGCAAAATTATATTCCAGTCACAACCAGCTCCTCCCACTTTGTGCCCGGTTTTTAAGCAGAACTAGGCCTGGTGGTGTCACTGCGGCATTTCTGCAGATTGCTTGAGCCTGGCACATGTGACCAACATTCCTGCCACACTGGGCACCGTCAGTCTCAACAAAGAGCTCACCTATTTCTTCTTTGATGATCCGCTGGGCTATCCGATCGATGGTTCCCAGCTTGAGTGCAAACGTGTCTAAGTAGTCACCAATGGCTGCAAACTCCAGAGGCCGACTCCTCAGCTTATAACCTCCTGTAACATGCTTGACAGACTCACCCACTCTGGTCAGCAGTGCTATCCCCTGCTTCTTGTAGGCATTCAGGTCCTGTAGATGACAAAGCACCATCCTGGTCACACAGCCAGGGCTAAAGAAACCAGCTCCTGAAGTCAGCATCTCATTGGAAATGAACAAACTAGAAAGCAGGGGCTGTTAGGGCCACATACACATCATAGTCCCATTGTGGGAACTCTTTCTGTAGGGAGGCCAAACAAACACCTATCTACTCTTATAGGGCAAACCAAAGTATAAGTCTAAAGTCCAACTGAGCAGTCAGTGACTTCACTGAGTTTACTTACAGAGTACAGGTTAGAGGGTTACTTACCTATACTCTGTAAGGGGCCACACCACAAGAAAATCTCACCCCAGCACAGATGACTGCAAATATGGATACCCTCCTTTGGCTAAACTTCTAGAGTCTATACAAACTAGCATCTCCCAAGGCCACGGGCCACGTGCAATCAGGAAGAATCATACGCTGGTTGTGAAGTGACAGAGGGAGTGACTGGGATTGAGTGAGGGTCCAATGAGCCCCCTCCCCCGTGGTGATATCTTACTTGTACAAATAAAGCTTGTCTGAAGATCAGAGGATGGAGCTTGCCCCTAGCTAACCATAGAGGTCTGAAGGACTGGACAGGAAGTGAGATGGCTAGGTGGAGAGAGGCTATAAGTGGGAAGAAACAGGAACTCACTCTCTGTTCCACCAGGAAGCTAATGAAGTAATGGAGACTTTGACTTGCTCCTCCTTCTCTCTGATCTCTCAGCATTTTCCTCTGTATCTGACTCAGAGTTTTTATTATTTAAACCAGTTAAGAACTCCATTTAAACCCCCACCACACATGCCTACCCTTCTTTGATGGAACCTCAATAGTCGCCAGGCCCCCCACTCTTGAGGCTGCTGTGACAAGTTGATGGCTGCTACGCTTGAAGAACAGCATCCTCAACAGACCCCCAGACACACATCCATCTGCCCCTTTCCAGACTCCCTATCAACGTGACTGGGCCCTACACCCTCCAGTCAGTTCTACTCCCTGCAACACTCTAACACAATTTTTAAAACCTTGGGCAAAAATGTCCTGTGCAGTCTTAGCACAAAATTAAATACCCAGAGTCATTCCATTCACTCAACCTCAACTAGAGCCATATGAGGAAGGTAGAGGGTGGAGGGTAGGGTGTTGAGAAGAAATGACAGAATTGCTGCTAGAAAACTAAGGTGAACTACTGTCACTGCAAACAAATTTTAAACACTGAATTTCCTGTGGGTCAAGGCAAAAGTGGAAAATGGGTAGAGCCTTTAAACCTTTTGTATCCAAATTTAAAAAGTTACAGTGTGCAGCGTAGTGGTGGATACCTTTGGTTCTATTACTCAGGCAGCAGAGGCAGGTGGATCCCTTTGAGTTCAAGGCCAGCTCAGTCTAAATAGTAAGAGCCTGTCCCCCAAACCAAACAAACAAACAAAAAGCTCTTAGAGCTGGGCTGGTGGTGCATGCCCATGATTCTAGCACTGGGGAATTGAAGCTAGCATGGGCTACAAAGTGAGGTCCTATCATGGTCACTGTTCCATTGCTGTGAAGAGACACCACAACTAAGGCAACTCTCATAAAAGGAAGCATTTAATTGGAGCTTGCTTACAATTTCTGAGGTTTAGTCCATTGTTATCACAGCAGGGAACATGGTGACACGCAAGGTGCTAGGGAAGTAGCTGAGATCTCCATCCTGATCCAGAGAGAGGGAGGGAACGAGGGGAGGGTGGGATAGGAAGAGAAGGTAGGGGAGAGGAGAGGAGAGGAGAGGAGGGGAGGGGAGGGGAGGGGAGAGGAGAAGAGGGGAGGGGAGGGGAGGGGAGGGGAAGGGAGGGAAGGGGAACAGAGGAACCCTGATCTTTTGGGCAGGGTGGGACAAACTGACAAAACACTGGGCCTGGTGTGGGCTTTTGAAATCTCAAAGCCCACCCCCAGTGACAGGCTTTCCTCAACAAGGCCACACCTCCCAATCCTTTTCACTCTGATGACTAAGCATTCAAATGCATGAAACAGAAAAAATATATATTCCATCAGGGAAACAAGCCTGTTCCCATTACTGAACTATGTCTTTAGGCTGTCCTATATCAATTTCAAAAATGGGTTTGCAGACAGTGCTGCGGTCTGTTGCTCATATCCACAGCATGACACAAACAGAACATTCACCCCCAGAACATGGTGGGGGAGGATACAGAGCAAGGCTGTGGCTTTCTCATGACCTGACCTGGTAAAGAATGAATAACCGGTGAGTGACAAGGCCACCTTGCACACCTGAGAAGGACAGCAATCCCCTCTAGGCCCTACTCATTTCCCTTCCAAGTCAGGCAGTTGGGAGAACATCTCCCATCCTGACCTCCTGACAGGAAACCTCCCCACAGGCACCAGGCCTTCTCAGAACCTCAGTGTTGCTGGGTTCTTAGAGTTCCTTCCACAGGTGACACAGTTTGGAGACTAGACTCAAGTGACTCATTCAATGCCATACTCTCTCCTTCAAACAAAATGTTGTCATGTGCCGCAGGTAAGTCAACTAGCAAGTGGATGGGATGCAACTGAGGCACCCATTCCACTACAGATAAAGGCAGTGATCCAAACACAGTCCACCGAGTTTCCTCACACTCTCCCAACATCACCGGCTTCGTCCTGGGGACACATCTAGTTTGGGATAAATGCTGCATATAGGTGGTTCATCTAAGACTTAGACATACTACATGCTGTCAGGCACAGTCTTCCCAGCTTAGCACACTAATGAACAGTAACTACCCCAGGGCCTATAGGTCAGGCCTGTTGCTACTCATAAGATGAAGATTATCAGACCCGCACCTGGGACTCCAGCCTGTTCTTCCTAGACCTTTATGGTTAGAGTGACCTTAGTTAATAGAAGTTAATAGAAGGGAGTGCTCATCTATGCAACTACAGGAACATTCACTGGGGTGTGGCTGTTTTAGTCATACTTTCTCCTGTGTGTAACTCCTTCCCTGTGCTCTGTAAACAAAACCCAATGAACCCACTGGTTTGCAGAGCTCAGCTTTAGAGGAATCATTATATTGGTCTGTTATTGATGCCCTATCTCAGGAGGAATATATGTTTGTTGACATCTTCCCAGGGAAGTTCGCACAGCAGTATGTTAAAGGAAAATACAGAAGAGTTAGGTGAGGAGAAACAAGAGCTCTTGTCTCATTAGCAGAGTTTCAGATTGTAAAACTGTAAAGTTCTAGAAGAGTCCTGGAGAATGGTTGCACAGCAGTGTGCCTGTACACTTAGAAATGTTGAAGATAGTAAGTTTCACATCACATATATTTTATCATAGTCAATTTTTTTAAAAGAAAAGATGGGCTATTTGGTGTGTTTAGTTTGGCAAGTGATACTAAAATAGGGTTACAGTTTATTTTGGTTTTGACTTGTTCTCTGTTTCTTCAGACAGGGCCTCATGTAGCCCAGGCTGGCCTTCAATTCACTATGTAGCTGAGGATCACCCTGTCCTAATCCTTCTGCTTCCACCTCCCAAGTGCTATGATTAATGGTGTGTACCACACCAAGCCCAGAGAGAACTCTGTGATTAGGGGCTGCTCTCCTGCATTCACTTACATGGAACAGGACTTTGATGGAGACATTGAAGGACCCTATTATATATACATCTTTAAAAATCTTTGTCTCACTGTTTAGGCCAGAGATCTCAATTCATCTCTCTCCAAGCCACACTATTTCCTACTCATTCTTCATACAGATTCCTAAGGACCAGGAATTCAAGCCACAAGCCTCTCCCACGTCATTCAGGAATGAGGACAACCTGGGGCTTCTGGACAAAGGAAGTGTAACCTGGGATCCAACTTGCACTCTGGGAGAACAAGAAACTTGAAGACCCACAATGAAGCATCAGTACCCTGAGAAATGCTTACATTAAACATATTCAACCTGTAGGGGGAGCTAGTGCATGGGCTGCCATCCTCTGGTGTCAAAAACAAAAACTTAAGAGGACTTTGCCAGATAGTTTCCATGAGTGGAGAACAGAGTCTTCCAGATGCCTTAAATGTCAACAGCTACTATCTACACAGATGTATCTGTTTCCTTGTAATTTTATCAAAGTGAAATGGACAGTACTTAGACCTCAACACCTCTGTCATTAGAGCGTACTATAAATGGCTTGAATGCAGGAACCTAAAACTGAATGGGCTGGTGAGAGAGAGTCTAAGCATGTGACCCCATTTCGACACAGTGAGAGTGGAGGGTTCAGATTTCAGGCCAGTTCTGCCAACAGTAAGTGAAGCATAAGGTCCCTGAACACGCAACTTGAGCTTGAACAGTCTCTAGCAACAAGCTGGAAACCAACACTTTCCTGGCAACTGATTGGAAAACACACCTAAGAGGAACAGAGCTGTGAGCAAGCAGTGGCCAGACCTTGTGATACAGATGGGAAGCAGGGCCTCAAATGCCACAAGACCCAGTTTCAAGCCCTAGTGATGTCAACTGGACAAGTTTAATCTCTCTGAACTTCAGTATCCTTGTCTGAAAAATGAAGCCACAGTTATTTACAGGGCTCTTGAGGGGGCCTGAAGGTGTCAAGCCAGGAAAGAGGTGAGAATGAAACTCAGCTCAGATTAACTTCATCAACCTGGACCAAACTTGGAGAGTCTGATGCCAGGTGGTTGTCAGCATATTTAAAACAATGTACAATTTGGGAAAAAGTTCCGAGGTAACAATCGTTCCAATTTCAGGTGCACAATAAAGTTTAAGGTATGACTACATAGGAATTCCTTTGTGAAGTACACGTGACCATAAGGGTGGGTTCTACAGCTAAAAGGCCTAGAATCAAGTGTGGTCTCTGGCTGAGAGAGCACAGAAGCCATAAAGCACATGTGCCATCTTCCCTAAGAACAGGTTCTATTAACTGGGAGCTAAAGATAACGTTCTAAGGACAGAAGAGTCTGAGATAAACATTCTGGGTGGATGTGGCAGTTTGAATGTAATGGTTCCCATAATCTCATAGGGAGTAGCACTATTATAAGGTTTGCCTTTATTGGAGTGGATATGACCTTGCTGGAGGAAGTATGTCACTATGGGGGTGGACTTTGAGGTTTCCTATGCTCAGGATACCACCCATGTTTCAGTCAACTTCCTGTTGCCAGCACCACATCAGCCAGCATGCTGCCATGCCACCCATCATGATGATAATGGACTGACCCTCTGAACTGTAAGCCAGCCCCAGTTAAATGTTTTCCTTTATAAGAGTTGCTGTGGTCATGGTGTCTCTTCACAGCAACAGAAAGCCTAAGATAGTGGGTGAGATATGCCTCCATAAGAGAGTGAAAAGCGCCAGGTTGTTAACAGTGTACTCCCAGCCTTCTGGGTGGAAAGTATTCTTTCTCTTTTCGTGTGTATTGTTGATAAGCTTCACCTACGAACACTGTCAAGAAGTGTTTACAGGATACTTGTGTTTCTGGCAAGTGAGAATACCAACTTCCACTGCTATAGCAAGAGGGGCAGCCTGTTTTCCTTCCGGATTCTAAAACAGAAATCATACCAACTCGGTGGGCACCAACAAAGCAGAGAGCCTTTGTGACGTCCACCTTAGCGCCAATCACGGAAGTGGCACCTGACAGAGCTGAGCAGCTGTTTGAGAAGGAGCTCAAGAATGATCATTTGCAGAGAAATATACAAAATTCTACCTGTACCTTAGCAGTGAGGAACACGTTGAAGTGTTCGTTGAAAGAGAGCACGGGGTGATCTGTAATCCTTTTTAGGAATTTATCCAGAGCTTTTCTTCTGGTCTCCACAAACTCTTCTGAAAAACGATCCACAACACCTTTCACCACAAACTTCTCAGGAAGCGGCTATAATACAGGAGAAAAATAGAGCAATCAAAATGGGGCAAGAAAAACTCACCAGGCTAGCAGACTTCTATGTCCATCTGTCCAAGAACAGTGCTGGGTGCTATTGTTTGTTTTTCTTTCTTCCTCTTTCTTCTTTCTTTCTTTTTGAGGCAGGATCTCATGTAGTTCAGACTAATTTCAAACTCACTATGTACCTGAAGATGACCTTGAACTCCTACCTCCAACTTCATATCATTTTATGTCAAGCACTTTACCAATTGAGCTATATTTCTAATGCAAGAATGTTAATTCTTAATCTGTTAGGGACCCCCCCTTCCCTGCACACAAGAAAGGGTTTTTCTGTGTAGCCCTGGCTGTCCTGGAACTCACTCTGTAGACCAGGCTGACCTTGTACTCAAGAGATCTGCCTGCCCCTGCCTCCTGAGTGCTGGGATTAAAGACATGCACCACCAGCACCCCAAGTGTTAGATATTTATGCTAGCATCAACGCAAAGATTTCTGGTAAATGAAGCTGCAGCAAATCATAACTGCCCTGTCAGTTACATATATGTAGAACACTACAGTCCTTGAACTAGTGAGAAGTCAAAATCTGTCCAGTATGCAGCTGGACTGTCTTTAAATATGCATAGATGTTATAAAGAGAAACATGGAAGACAAAGTCTAAGACAAGAAAGCAAAGACTGGGGAGACAGTTTAGGCGGGAAAGTGCCTGCTGTGCAAGCACAAGGATCTGAGTTCAAGTCCCAGAACCCATGTTTAAAATAAGAGCCATGTGCAGTGGTGTATACTCGTACACCTGTGATGAGGCTACAGAGACAGGGAGATGATACCGGGGGTGGGCTGGGTAGCCAGCCTAGCCTACTCAGTGAGTTCCTGACCTGTGAAAGACTCCATGTCAATAATAAAATAAAATAGAGAAAGAACAAGCAAAGAAAGAGCAGACAATGCCGGAGGAACAACACCCAAGGATGTCCTCCATACACACATGCACCCCCTCCCCAGAAACACACACATGTACATACACTACCTACACAGGCATACACATATACACACAGACACACTAAAGAAGGGGGCAGACAACATCAAGCACACAAAAATTTATTAAAATAGCTTAAGATTCTGCTCCTAGTTCAAAGCAAGCAGAACACAGTAAATGAAGAAATAAGGAAGTAGGAAAACTTACAGCATACGATGATCTTAACTTTCCTTTTAGGTTTGTGACCAAAATGTAACTTTCTTTACTTCTCTCATTCAAATTTCCCTATCATAAATCTTTGAACCAACTGAACAATTTAAACTAGCTGCTCTCCCAGGGACCTCTGAACTTCGATTTATTTTCTTGGTAGCCTGCTCAAAAGTGTCTTTCTCACTGCCTCCAGGGGGAAAAGTGACTGTTACACACAATTTTAAAACATCTCGGTTCTGACAAAAAAAAAAAAATGTCGCTGAGGATACAGACAGAGGGAAATCTTACTGCCTATCACTGGTAGAAACATAAACCAGTTCCCTCACTATGGAAACCAGTGGCAGCAGGGAGGGGGCCCTCAGTAAACTAAAAGGTGGCTTCCCTTGATAGTACATGCCTTTACTCCCAGCACTCCAGGAGGCAGAGGCAAGTAGATCTCTGAGTTCTACATCAGCCAAGGCTGAATAATAAGGCTGTCTCAAAAACAAAAACAAAGAAGAAATCTGTGGTAATGAAATATTCTAGAAATATTATTTCTCTTGTATTTTGCTGGGCGTTGGTGGCGCACGCCTTTAATCCCAGCACTCAGGAGGCAGAGGCAGGCGGATCTCTGTGAGTTCGAGACCAGCCTGGACTACCAAGCGAGTTCCAGGACAGCCTCCAAAGCCACAGAGAAACCCTGTCTCAAAAAAAAACAACAACAACAAAAAAAAGGCTGTCTCAAAAACAAAAACAAAGAAGAAATCTGTGGCAATGAAATATTCTAGAAATATTATTTCTCTTGTATTTTAAGAGACTGGAATTTTTGCTGGACCACACAGCCAGAGTTAGTAATACACCTTGAAGTGGTGACAGCTAGCCTACTGTGCACTCAAACTGTTTAGCCCCCTTTAAGAGAACAGAACAATGTAACAGTTGTCCTTACTTGCTTGGATTTCTCATGTAATCAATGTTTGCAACCTAAATTAATGCATAGCTGTAATCTTTTGTTTTCATTATTTTGGGTTTGTTGTTGTTTTTATGAGACAGAATTTCTCAGTCCTGGAACTCACTATGTTGACCATGCTGGACTTGAACTCAGAGATCCGTCTGCCTTTGCCTACTGAGTGCTGGAATTAAAGGTGTGCACCACCACTGCCCGCCTCATAGCTGCATCTTAAATTATGTACAGTGCATGTGTATCATTTGCATGTGTATCATTTGCAGAAAGTAGCAAATATAGAGCCTTAAAGCAACTTTCTAAAACCTACCATAAAGGATGAAAACAACATTTATGGACACTGGTTAATAAACAGTATTTATAGTACTGCTTGTTGTGTGGGACAGTTGGAGCCAGTGACTTAATCCCTTATACAACTCTGTTAAAGATGTCTGTAGAGTTCCCCATTCCTTCCCATGTGATGCTTTCTGTGTTGTTCAAGAAAGACAGAGTGAAACCCTTTGTTTAAGCACAGACACACATCTCTTACAACTGACAGACACACACAGACAGACAGAAGACCCAGACCCAGGGACAGATTCACAAAGAGAGCCTTCAGGCAGACACAGATTCAGATCACACAACAAAGGACAGAAGGCACAAGGAGCATGAAGTAGAGAATTCAAATATGGGCTCGCTCTTGGATAAATGACACCAAGGAGAAGCAGTTTTCTTTCTTTCCTTAATGTGAAACCGATGCATTATTGGTGACTCAGAGTTAATTACTAATGTGTTTAATCCATGCATAAAATCTGTACAATACAAACCAAACAGGATCGGCTAAGTAACCCTGTTACACAACTGAGTATTTGCCAGAAATACTCTAAGCCAGGTACCACATGGACTACTCACAACAGCTAAACTAGGGAACGCGTGGAAAAATGGATGAAGATTGTGCTGTATACAGTGAGTCTTCTTCGGCCATAAAGGAGTTTTGTCTTTACAAGCAACTGGAGATTACTAACCACAGTAAGTCAATCAAGTCAGTCCCAGAAAAACAAGTATCACATGTTTTCTCCTGTATGTGGCTCCTAGATTTTAAACACACACGAGTAAAATCACATATGTATAGATGACATGAAATTGTACAAGGGAGTAAAGGGGACTAATGAAGGCAGGGAGGTTGATATGCCCAGTGGGGAACATGTACCTGTATGTACCACAGTACTATATACAATGATTATATACAATAAAAACCAACAGTGCTTGACTTTTAAAATGTTTCAAAACACATTTTTTTTAAAATGAGGGAATAGGGGTGATGATAAGGCTCAGTGATGGAGCGATAATGTTGGTGATTTTTCCCAAAACCTACAAACAGCCAAGGAGCACCTGGAAAGATGCCCATCATAATTACTAGGGAAATGATCAAAATGGTAATGAACTTAGATGTGGTGGCACACATGTGTAACCTCAGCATTCAGAAGACTAAGGCAAGACAAACCTGAGGCCATGCTGGGTTACATTGGCCAGCATGGGCTACATAACAGTTCCCTATCTCAAAAACAAACAATCCTAAATATTTGTGAAGATAGATATATGTAGGAATTTACCCAAAAATCCTACTTGCAAGTTATTACAATAATCCATTGGTTTAATTTTGAAACACTGACATTATATATAGCTCCTGAGACTTGGAGGTATATGTTTTATGTGGTTTTAGCTTAAATCTGGCCTGTCATCTGAAATAAAAGTGTATTTCCAGTACATTGCCACAAATAAGCTTATTTCTAAGTAGGAAATCTACACACACTGCTCATTCGTGGATTGGCCAACTTCTTGTCAGAATCAGAGCTCTTCCTGAATTCATAAAGGCTTACTGCTCACCCAATTCATCACTCAAACCTGCCCCTTCCTACCCTTACCAACTTAACAGAAAACCCCGCTCCAACACAAGAATCACTGCCAAATAAAAAAGCACCAAGATTAAAAGCCATGCCATTAAGAAGGATAATTGCCAACCTTAGTTTAATTCAAAGTACTTGCAAGTTCAATCAATATTTTACTATTAACTTCCTTACTGAGTAAGCTAAAGTACCTCAGAAGGGGGAGGGTGCTAAAGAAACGGCTTGTCAGGCAAGAACACTTGCTGCTCTTGCAGAGGACAAGAATTTGGTTCCCAGCATTCACATCGTGTATCTCACAATTGTCTGTAACTGCACCTCCAGGGGACCCAAAGCCCTCTTCCAGTCTCCATGGGCACCTGTATACATGTGGCAGATACCACACACATGTGTAAATGTTTTATTTCAAAGAGAGATTTGTTGTGGAATATTTTGATGGCACTCTGACACTCCTAAGACTGGCCAATAAAGTTATAGCTTGAATCAGGGATCAGAGCCAGGGGCTAGCTGACCGGAATTAGCCATAGAGAAACCAGCTATTTGGATAGAGGAGACACAAAGGAAGGAGAGGACAGGGACTTGAGTTTGATCTTCCTCTTGGTTCTGGGATAAGGGAAGAGACATGACTCTGTGGTGTCTCCAGCCAAAAATCAAGGCCAGTTAGATAGTTGCTACTCAGCCTCTCTGAGCTAGCAGGTTTTCACCCCCAGTCTTTGACTCCTGAGTCTTATTTATCAATGATGGAGACTCAATTAAATCCACACATTGCAGCCACGGCAGTGCCAGGGCTCCGAAACTGGAAGCCCCACCAGGCCATGGCCTGAGTGGCCAGCAGGGTGCTTACTGAGGGGCTGTGGAGTGGCAGATGATAGTTAAAAAATCAGTAAATTCATGTGCAGCTACTAAGCCAACAGAAAAACATCAGGGACTGGGCTAGAAAATGGAGTCATTTTACCATTTCAAACTGGGGAAAACAGTTGTTGCAATACAA